AAACAAGTGAATGATTTAATTTGTTTCTCATTTGGCAGGGGGGGAAACAGCCCTACACTGAGAACACATTTGGTGAAGCATAGGTTGTTAAATTTTCACTTTATGATTATGAATTGATAAGGGTTGAGCAGAAAATGTAAAAAAGAGAAAATTTAACAGTTTCCGTCTTTTTCTTGGGTACTTAAGGAGATGCAGTTTGTTAGCATAGATAGATAGATAGATAGATAGATAGATAGATAGATAGATAGATAGATAGATAGATAGAAGCTTAAGAAATTTGTTGAGCACTAACATTTTTAAATGTGGACTGTGAATCACACTGGTGTAAAATGGTGCTATTTTTTTCTGATTTAGCAAGCTTGAGTTTGCAATACCCTCAACATCTGGATGATCAGTTCTGAACTACAAAGCAGTTGCACAGGTTGCCTGGTTGAAGGCAACCTGTCTCCAAATTGCGATCTGATTTGGATGACAGCAGTCACTCTCAGACAGAGGAAGGTTTGTAAATAACTCTTGTCTAATTTATTGCAGACGAGTTGCCAAAATGCTGCAATCAGTCTGTGCTGGTGAGTATAACTCATCTATACTACATCTGCTTTACTATTAAAGCCAGGTTGGCCAGCACCCAGGTTTTCACAGGTAGATCGGCATCCTGCAGCAATCACGTCATTATTTGTGAAGGAATTTGAGGATTTTTGTTTCACATCAATGAGGTTCCAGCTGGACTCTAAATGTAAGTATTTAACCTGAAATTCTGTTTAATAAAATGAATTGTTATGTTGACATGAACTGATTTGCAGTTTTGGCTGATTTATGACAGTTTTACCTCATTCAGTCTTAAACTGGCAGCAGACTGACTCCATCTTATTGCCACATGAACCAAAGTTGCTTTACAGATACCAACTGATTGTAAGTGGTCGCAGATCTGGTCGCCATCTTTGAAGCAACCATTTCAAAGGTAGTAAAATTACAAGCTCATTGAACACAGTCCCGTTAATTTTGGTCGTGTGGCAGTCTCCAACCACCGTTTTCTCCAGTGTGACTGTGACAACAAATAAAAAATCACAGCAGTGATGACAGTCCCTCTGGTTGATCCAATCTAGCACCGACCTTAGGTATACAATAACAACATCTGTGCTAGGAACTCTATTTAAACTGCTCTGTCTTCCGCCCTTTTTCTTCCTGTTAAAAGCAAGTCGCCAAAGCGTTTGCTCATATGAGGTCATACAAGTGTTCAGGTTTTCTCTGTTTTCTCTGCATTATTGTAGCGTCTTTACCATAAAATATAAAGCATCTTGATGCCGCTGTTGTTGTTGCGATTTATAAATAAAACAGAATTTAAATCAATTGAATCGAATATTAAAATGAGCAAAGCATCATTTCAACAAAAGTGAAAAAAACAAAAGTGGTTTAAATCAACATTTCAAGGGTGGTTAGACAAAGAAGTTACATATTGCAGTTTAGATCTGTTGTTAGTTTCAAGTCTTTTTGGTCCTCTGAGTGTCTAGAAGGAAGTAGGACATGTTTTAGGGTGACCCTAACTGGCAATTGACAAGTTGCTCTCAAATGACTTTTTATAGTTATCTTTAAATCAGGTCCACCCCACACTCATGAACTCTGGTAACAATGAAAATGTTTGGCCTGAGGTTTGAAAAACAGGACATAGAAAATCACTGGTTGCCTTCCTGGTGGCTATTTTCATCTTTTATATACAGTTTATGAACTGACAGAGGGAAACCAAAAACACAAGAATAAGTACGAGTTTCTTGCCTAAAGTTATTTACACATTTTAAATGTAGAAATGAAGAAATCTTGTGAATGAAACTAACTTATGAGTGCCTTCATGTGACAATACTGGTTGAAAAGCTAAAAATGATTAAATTACATAAAAGGCTTTTTTCTTTTACAAAGAAAAGAAGCCCTTTTAAACAATTCTCTGATCTATTAATACCAAGATATCTGACTTAAGGATTAATCAGTTTAGCTGCTACCACAGGCTTTTGAAAGCTTTTCACTTTTCTGCTGCATCTTTCTTTTCTGTCCTGTCAGAGGGGAACAATGCTGGGCAAGTTAAATGAGGCTGATTATATACCCTAAATTATTGGATCAGATAGGAAATGAATAACTAAAAAGAAACATATCATTAATGTAAAAAGACAGAAAGAAAAGCTCATAATGCAACACAAATTAGCACTGTCCTGCATAATAAGGTCATACTGCAGAGAGGTATACAATATATATAGGTGTGTGTGTGTGTGTGTTTGTGTTAGCATATAACACACATTCCAATTGTAAGATTCTACTGGATGTATTATAGCACTGCAGCATCTTATGAATTTTAATACAAAACAATGGAACACCAACACAAACACGGGCACCAAAAATGAAAATCCAGTCAGATGTGTTTCACAGTGTTGCATGGCTGTTACACTTGGTTCTATTTGTTGTGTTGTGTTATAGAGGTGTTTATAAGTGTGTGTGTGTGGCCACACTGAGTATTTCACCTTCAGCACAGTAGTCAATGCATCGATCCATCCAAGCAGCAAGCAGTGAAAAAGTGAAATCATGAAGCTCCCGTTCCTCTCCTGCTCCTGCGCGGGGACGCTGGAGCATTTGCAGCAGCATTAAGGATTAAATTTGGCCCCCAGAAGATACCGAGATTGGTTTGATCAATACAATTAGATTGCCTTTTTTACGACGCACCAAGCACATTAATGTAGCAAAAGCAAAACATGTAAACTAATTCAGCCTTGTGTTCAGGAGTCACGGAGGGTAATGTCACAGTTTGTGTGCTAAATCCTGATAAAAGTTGCTGAATTCTCCACCGAGGTCTTGCTAATGATGTTCTCTTGGAAGTGATACAATTGGCAAATGATTATTGATTTCGGCACTAGAAGAGCCTGGCTCCATTACAGAATGATCCTGTGCCGGGTTGCAGTCGGTGAATTTAATTACGTCCATACGTGCATTTAAATAGGAGAGCCTCTCATTGTCCTTTAGGGTTTCAAAAAAAGAGAGAAAATATACACTTTTCTACAAGTGTATAAAATCTGCTGCATGTGGGGAGAAGCATGTTGTAGCCCCGTCACGCCCCAGGCAATTTTTAAAATTTCATCAGTCTTCTGACTGCACAAGAGGTGAGAAGTGAGCGGCAGAAAATGTAATCCCCAAAACTGATGACTGTTACACAAAATTACAAGAATAGAAAAGACAAAGAGGCAGCATTAACTCTTAATATGCCCAGCCTTGGGCCAAACTAATAAAACTGCAATTGAATCAGCTCTAAATAAATGATGGTGCTGTAGTTTAATAACATATCATCTGCCCCGCTGACAGCATTAGACCTGACACTCTTATATATCTTAATAATCCCACAAGTTCAGACTGAAGGGCATTTGTCAAGAGCAAATTCACACCGAGTGCTGCTTTATTTCCCTAACTCGTTTTTTTCTGGCTCTTCTGAGACTTTCAGGCAAACGCCGAGCACCACCAAGTGGAGGTAATGAGAAATGGAAGAATAAATTGTCCCCCAAGCTAGTTATACAAACACTCTAAATGAAAAACAAAGCACCGGCAGGTCAAGCTGTCTGCACGCAAACAAAGAGACAGAGACAGCATTTTCACTGATCCTGCTTTCAGTTGTGATTACCACCGCCCCACTTTCCTCCTCAGATCAACAGAAAAGACGAACACAGCACTTTTTAAATAAAATGACTCGATACAAATGGGAAAATAAAAAGGTTTTAATAATTCCCATGCATTTTGTGTAAACAAATAATTCCTCACAGTACTGCATTTACACATTGCTGACATATCATCAACACTGGCGCGACATACATAGGTCAGGTTTTTTTTTCCAGTTCATATACTGCATGTGTTGGGTTTTAATACCACAGCATCAACAAACTGTAGCCAGCAGGCACTGAAGATAGCATCTTTGATTTATTCTGCACTGCATGTGCTGAAAACTTAGAGCCCGCAAAGCAGTTTGTGGCTAGTGATATACACTCACCCTTAAATGTGACATTCAGTAAATCATTTTATTATTAAAACTTTCATTGATTGGTTTGACTTAAGTAGAGTTCCTGTTGTATAGGTTAATGAAGCCTTCCAATGTTTCACTGTAAGATATTAGCATTTGTTTGGGGGGGTTTGTTTTGTTTTTGTAGAAGGGTTCATGTTTTGATCTTATGTAAAAGATGCATACGTGTATACTGCACATCAGTTTTTTTCTGACAAAAGCAGCACAGTTATGCAGACTGGTCATGAGTGGTCACAATCTGTCTAAATGCATGAACAGAAATAGAGTTCACTCCAAAATCAGTTAAATGTAAGTCACAAGGTTACTTAAAAAAAAATACAAATAAAAAAAAATACAAATAAAAATCCTCACAAGCAGTTTCATGCTGGAACTTCTTTCTTTGCACTACATCAGATTTCTGCTGCCGAGCTTTTAAAATCTGTGATTTTTGGGCACGGTGAGGGCCACAGCTCCATTTCACTAAAGAAGAGGCAGACATCTTTACAGCAGATGTCTCTGGAACTACACAGACCACTAATGCCCCTTTAAACCCAGACAACAAGCCTGTCACTGGGTCTATCATAAAACACTCCCATCCTGGGGCAAATATAGCTCTGCTAATATTGACCAGTTAAAAGTGATCCGACTGTAACACAATCCAAAAGCTGCAGCAGCATTTTTGCTGCAAAAGTCATGAAAACTGTTTAAAAAAATAAGTGCAACTGTGAGTGTTTGTTTCGAGGGGGAAACATGAGACAAATGAATACACTACAGAAAACCTTCATTCATATGAACTCTATATTACTCTGAGGAAATGTGCAAACAAAGCTTTAATAAAGATGCCTTTACATGCTCTCCGATGCTGGCCTTTGAAAAAAAAGAAAATAATAATAATAATAATAATTAATATATATATATATACATATATAAATATATAGATATATATATATACATGTACATATACATATATATACTTGGAAATAAATACACATCCAACAAGAGTGGCACTTCTACATACTCAGTGTGGGCATTTACAAGAATCTGCTTGCATAGTTAAGTGCATGCATAAGCAATTTATCATGCAACAACTGTCACATACTTCAGGAATAGTGATCTCTTTTTCTCGGGTCTACAGTCAGTGCGTTCTGTGGAGTACTACTCTGTATTGCAAGCTAAGATGCGCACAAGCTGTGATGTGGCATGTGAAGACAGAGGACAGGCTGTCTTTGAGCATGTTGTTTATGCGGTTTTTTTTTGTACATTAACCCTGTGTTCGTCTGGGAGGAATGTTTGGAGACGTCTGGCAGTCTGAAGAGGCTCGATTCCCCACAAGGGAACCTGGGCACCGCAGTTAAGTGTTGGCGTCAGCAGCTGGAGGGCAGGGGTGGTTTTGAGGGGTTATTACAGGTTAATAAACACAAATGTTAAGAACCATGGTGGACCGAGGATCTCCAGACGTTAGACACTGATGACGCACGTTTCACTCCTCAGCTTCTTGGCGACAGTCAGAATGTGGTCGAATAAAAAAAGAAGAAAAACTTTGTTTTTTTCTGTTTGTTTTTTTAAAGGCTATTGCAGAATTACTACGTCAAAAAAGAGCACATGTAAACAGCGGTTCGCACTAAACAGGCGTTATTGTGTTTTACTTGAAATGACATTTTCAGTGCTTGATAAATATTAAAATCGAGTTACAAATTTACCAACACCTGCAGTTACACAACTTTCGATTAAATACTTCTCTGCGATTATCTGAGGCACTGATGTTTGTCGTTGACATAATGGCTCTCGATACTGGAGGAGAGCTGTACGTAAAGATCTTCTCTTGAAAATAATTTGCTGCATCAGCATGTTAAAAATTGCCAGTAAACTTCCTTTGGTGACTGAGTGAGTCCGTGTTTGAAAAGTTCCTTTCTCCTTTCCGCATCCACTTTCCAACTTGTGCAAAGTGACTTTTATTCTCGCTATGAGCTGCTCTTCTCCCGACGATGCTACAGACAGAACAAGGCAATAATTTAAACACACGCCCATGCTTATTTACAACACAGTATAATACGCCTGAAAATCAATGCAATCCATACAAAGTGCTTCTGTTAAAATCCATTCCTAAATAACTATTTAACAATGTGGGCAAGAGGTGTCCAATATGGCAGCTGGTATTCAGTGACCACTGAAAAGCTACAGGTGCTTCAAAGTTGTTTTGCCAGACATGCTTTGTGTCTGGTTTGATGGTTAAAAAGAAACAGAAAAACACCTCAGAGCTGCACTTTAGAGAGATTGTTTTTCAGACCCTCGGAGTAACATCACTTGGATTTCTGGCTAGTTTGTGTGGAGTTGATGGGGATCTTTCTGGACTGTAATGTCTTTTTAGCCGGCTCTTTCTTTGAAGGGTCCTTTGCAGTGGCAGGAGACTGAGCTGCTGTTTCTGCTCCAGAAAGCTTTGATTTTGTGGAGGGCAGCAGTGAGTGCTTGGCGGAACTTGATGCCTTAGAGGACTCCTTGTCTTTGGCTGTGCTCGCGTTGGACTCCGAGGCCACGCACAATGTTTTTTTGCTCGCTCCGTGCGGGACTCCTTCTCTAGATGCGCTCCCACCACTCTCCTCTGGACTTCCTTTCCCCTCTCCTGCCCCTGCTTTGCCGCTATCACTTGGTTTCCGGGTCTCTTTAGGCCTCAGAGCAGTTTTAAAGAAGGACAAACCTTTGTCCTCTGTCTTACTGCTCCTCTGGGGGCCTCTTAGCGGTGGAGCTGTATTTAAAGAGGAAACACCTACACTTGAGGATCGGAGACTAGTAATGGAGGAGCTACTGCTTGAGCTCCGGGCTGCTGCTCTGTCTTCCATAGCCTTGCCTGGCCTGCCCTCAGCTCTACTAGCAGCGCTCAGCCTGGAGGGAGGACCTCCATGGCTAACTTTCTTCTCTAACGCCGTATTGGTCCGTGACGATTCACGGCTAGTGCTCCTGTCTGCTGCTCTGTTCCTTCCTGAAGCGGAGCTTTTCTCACTAACCCCTCTGGGTGATGTCCTCCTCTGAGGGTGTGAGTTTTGTAATCCGGGAGATCCACTCTTTTTCTGTGCAGCCAACTCAGGATGTAATACCTCCGTGGTTTGGGATGATCCTTTTTTAGAGGGGGTTGCTGTTCTGGAGGAGCTGCCCTTGCAAATTTTAGTGCTTCCATCGCTTTTGTCTTTTGGCGTTGATGGTGCCGCTGCGCTTTTGGATTGTGTTCGAGACTGTGACTTATCAATGGCCGGAGATGCAGGAGAGAGAGAGCTGGATGACGTCGAGGAGGTGGCAGCGCGCTTCTTTGGGCTCTTTTCGCTCTCCAGCCCAGTCTTGGCAGAGGACCTTTTGACACCGCTGCTGTCCACGGCCACAGTCCTTGGTTTCACCTCCTTTGCAGCTGCACCATGTCTTGGACTGACCTGTTCAGCCCCAGCCAGTAAATTGTTGTTATCTCCTGCCTGGATGGAGCTCCTCTGATCTGCCTGCAGCACAGCTTTCGAGTGCACCTGCTCTATCAGCCTTTTAGCGCCTCCATTACTCTCCAAAGCACCAATAGCCGACTTGCCCCCTGACAGTTTATCTAACTTCGGTGACCCAGTGAAGCAGGAGGTAGACTGCTTGGTATCAACTACCTCTCCTATCCTTTCCAGTACTGGGGAGGAGGAGTGGGACTCCAGGGAGAAGCGTGAGGGAGAGTTGGAACGAAGCTGGAGCTTAGCAGAGTGGGGCCAGGATGGTTTAGCACCGTTTTCACTCAGTGCTAAGGGACTTGCGATGGAAGATCTTGAGGAGAAAGTTTGCCTTTGCATGCCTCTCACTGCTGGTCTGGAAGATAAACCTGCAGGGCAGAGAACATGCATTAAGAAAATAGTCATGCTTGTCAGCTGAAAAAAACACATGTAATTGTGTGAAATTAGTGTTCTTTACCATCATCTTCACTCCGTTCACCAGCAAACTCAGCAGACTCAGAAAGAGAGGCCAGCGAGGTGCGTCTGGAGGACCCAGAAGAGGCTTGGCTTGGTGGACGACTTCCTATCAGCCGACTAATCCAGTGCTCACACAACGAGGAACTGGTGGAACCTGAGAGGCCAAACAGACAGACAGTGGTTGAACATCTATATATTATGAGCATTACAGGATAATTTAATATGTGAGGTATGAGGTGCAATAAAAAAGTTCCAGGATACAGCACATAAAAAATAAATATCAAAAACCTTTAAGGTCATCTGCTCATGAACCTTCAGACCTTCTACTTTTAGATCTCTGTGATGTGAGCCGGATTTCTCTCAGTGTCTGAAAACAGGAGCCCTTAAAAATTATTTTCATTTTGGGCAAGTGTGCAAAGTCACAGGGAAGCAAATCTAACCAGTGGGTTTGTATGCCAGCACACAGTGGAGTTCTCCACAGTGTTTCCCTTCAAACACCACAGTCACACCCTGGAGGATGAATTCCCAGTGCTTAATCTCATGACTGCTGAGGAAAAAAGAAGAAGAACCACCTGCTCCCTGCACGATGCTCCATCTTCAGGCTTTGAAACTGTAGAGTACATAAACTGCTGAAAGTGCTCAGTGGTAGCCACAGACCGAGCACTCATCACCAGCATTGATCATCCACAGCAAATTTGAATCAGTTTGAATGTTTGCCCTCTGCACTGTTTTAACAGATGTGCTAGTGTAAGTGTTTATAAAGGAACTTCCAAGGAATAATATAGCAACAGTGGTAAAACCAGGTTGCCTACAAATCACAGTCGGTGGACCGATCTCTAACTCCTTCAGCCCACTTGTGCAGGATCCTGAACCTCAGGTTTCCCCCAATGCATCCATGTGAGAGTGTGTGCAAATGTTAGAAAGGTGATATACTAGCACCAGTCCATTTACCATTTAGGTGCATGAGAAAATGACTCAAAACTGTGTTCCTTTTTATGGGTTTATTGCCAAATGCTTTTTCTTGCATGTTGGACATGAGTCTGCACACAGTAACATTGTCACAAATTACCTCCCACAGAACTGTTGGCAGACCAGGACGGGATAGTTGCACGTCGTTGATAAAACAAGATGTAAGCAGTCTGCTTGCAGACCTCATCTTCAGATATGGGATGAACATCGCTATCATCAAAGCAGTACCACTGCCCATCGATGGAGTTCTTACAGTGAGCTACGAGAGACAATGAAATAAAACAACATAAATATCCTGGAGAGCTTCTGTACCCAGCTGGATATGGTGCTTCCTCACCTGTGTAATGTCCTCCCTGCATGGTCCCATGATGGTTACACACCGCATACAGGTCATAAAGGTAGTCCTCTGGATCACGACCCATCCCGTACGGCCGTCTCCATGGCGACCAGTGGGAGGGCAGACTCCAGCTGCTCTGGCTTCTCTTTACCATATGAGGTGCCATGTCCATGCCCGTAAGCGGGAACTTCACCATGTTCTGCATCTTCATTCGCCGATCCCCGTCCTGTAGAAGCAATACGTTTAAGTTTGGGGTTTTTTTTGTTTTTTACTTACATCGTATGAAAAGATACAATCTTGTACCTGTCTGAAGCGTTTCAGGTGAAGTATGAGGATGTCTGGCAGGGTCCACAGGCTGAGTTTGATGCTGCCTTGCTGAAGCTGCTTACAGTGTGGACAGCGCCATGCATCATCAGGAGCAAGCTGAAATTAATGTGAAAACGCTTTAAAGTGGCAAACTTTAAGCACAAAACAGGCTTTACGCTCTGCACCCCTGCATGCAGGGGAAAAATATATTTTTTAATCAGTATCAGTAATATTCTTTGTGCAGGTCACACCCGCTTACCTGTTCCTCTTTGGTGTAGAGTTGAAAGCACTGGGCGAGTGAGCAGGTCTGAGGCTGCAGATGCTGCTCCTTCGCTTGCCGCACACTTTCAGCATCGGGGATGTACTCGTCCTCAGTTCTTTTGAACAGACTGTGGGCGTAACACAGCCGAAGTCACAGAGGGAATACACAACTTCAAAAGAGTTACTATACAGCGCTGTGCTAAAGTCACCCCTCATGTCTTCACATGTTTTATATATATGAGAAAACACATAGAAATAGAGCATATAAGGGAAAAAAAGAGTTTGTACAATTCCAAAGAGCTTGAAAGTCAATATTTGGTGGGAACATCATGACTCTTCATTATTCTCTTGTAATTTCTTTAAGTAGTCTTCAGGAATAGTTTTTCAGAGTTCTTGAAGGAAATTCAAGGCTCTTCCTTGGATGTTTCTACCTTTTGTTCTGTTCTCTGTCAAGATGATCCCACACTGCTTCAATAATGTTGAGTTCTGAGCTTTTGGGAGGCCAGTCTACGACTGATAGTGCTGTATTGTGTGTTGCTGTTTTTATTTATCGAGCTCTGCATTTACTGAAATTTAGTTTAGGATCATTGCCGTGCAGGAAATCAAAGTCACTGCCAATCAGACACTTTCCAGATAGTGTTGCATGGTGGAACAAAATCTGATGGTACATTTCTGCGTTTATATTTCCATGAATTTTGACAAGATCCCCAACACTGCTGGCTGAAGTACAGCCTCAAACCATGACCGAGCCTCCACTGGGTTTTACAGATGTCTGTACCGCTCACCTGACCTCCTCCGTTTCTACAGACAACAATTTGAACCAAAAACTCTTATTTGGATTCATCACTCTATCAGTCCATCATTTTTTTAGTCCAGTTCTTGTGTTAATTTTGTGTGTGTGTGTGTGCGTGTGGGTGTCACGTACTAGTCTTTCGTCTCCTTGTCCCACTCAACAACGATTTTGACATGAGGGGGTCCTCCGGGACCACAGGACTTGTATGCTCTGTTAAAAGTTAGACCAGAGACACATTAAATGTTTAATTTTACACATTTAACTGGGTTTTTTAATTCATTATTATATTTATTATCATAAGCACAGAAAGATTTACGCCTCCTCTAGAGGTAATTTCTGTTTTAGATTTTCACCACTAGCCACTATTAACCATTGTCCTAGTCTTGAAGTCATCATCAGAACTTGTGATGGTGACCATGTTTTTTGTTTTAAAGTTTAGTTTGAACGAGTCTTTGTTTGTTCATGTAACACAAGCGGAGCAAATGTCACTCACAACTTTCTTTTCATTAAAAAAAAAATCCATGCAACAACCCCAGAGGTCGACAGCCTCTGTGAAGAAAATCTATAAGAACCAGACAAGCTATCAGACATCTCAGGATTTCTTTTGACATCAATACCAATGAAGGTTCGCTGAGGCTCTTCAATCACCTTCAACTGGACAGAACACGCCACAGGATTTCTACAATGACATTCAGGTGGGGTAACACTGCATCCTAGCGGGGATATGCGGCATTACCTCTCCACAGAGGGATGGCAGAGCGGCTGCTCCTCCTGAGGCAAGAGATATGTGATTCCAACCACTCCTACCACACGCAAAGTGAAGGGCCCCACCTACAGGGCGTCAAGGGTAAGACAAGAAAAAACTTAATCTTCATTAAAAGCTTATCAAAATGTGAGGTTGCTGTGTTTACGTCATAATATGCACCTGTACAAAGACTCCAGGGCGCAGAACATGCCTCATTTTCTCCAAAATCTCTTTCTGTAGTACGTCCCAGGTCACTGTACGCTCCAAATATAGAATAAATGGATTACCGAACCTGGGGGAAAATAGAAAAACAGCAAGTTTTAGAAGATTTGTGGATTAAATTTGCAATTCTTACACAGCTCTGTCCATTAAAGCACCTGCGTCCTTGCTGTCCAGCGCAGGCTCTGTTGCACACCAGCAGGACGATCTTCTCAGCCTGCCCGCTGTTCTTATTGGGACTCTGAGGTGGTGTTGTAGGCTCTTGTATTTGTGTGGCCATCCTGTTATTATCTGTCCCATACTTCAAGTTGTTCTGATTGAGATTGGCATGTGGGCTTCCTGAAACGTACACAGAAAAAGTTCAATTTGGGGGGGAAAAAACCCACGTGCTCCCTTGTGAAGTGTTTCCAAAAATCAATCCAACATGCTGCTTTACCTTCCCAAAAATGAAACATTTTGCCTGTTTTTGTCAACCCACTACACTGAGACAAAGAGTGAGTAAACAGGATGTCGTACCACATCGCTTGGAGCGGATCTGCTCCGGTCTGAACAGCTCGGGTGTCTCGAAAGCAAAGATGGAGTCGCTCTCCTGAATGATCTCGAGGTCGTCGTCATCGTCGCAGAAGGAGCGATGGAAGCCATCGTAGTACATTTCAGTGAGAACAATCTAAGCAGTGACGGGGAATCAAAAAACAAACAAACACTAAATTACTGATGCGGGTTCGTTAACAGGAACACAAAGAGGAAAGTTTTAAATGAGGCCTCACCTGTTGGGCAGGTATTTTAGTCTCTTGGGCCACAGCTTGTCTCAACCTGGACACGGTGCCAGAGAGGGGCACCGCCACCCCGACTCTCATACAGTGGGAGCACTTTCCTTGATACACCACTGTCACATACAGGGGCCTGCACAACAGAACGGCTGGATTTAATTGGCTGTTTCATAACCATGACTGGACCGATGTTCCAAAGATAGACAGCATCTTCTAATTTTAGCTTTTTCCTGTCACATCTCTCACAGTGTTTGTCTGGGCTCGGTTTGACACTCCCTTTGTTTCCAAGCTTGGAGTTCAGACAGGATCTTGTCTCATTGCAGTTTTGGATACAGGGACTTTTTTTTTAATTGTATGATGGCTATTGTCTTACTTCTAAACTAGACCCAGAGTCACCTTACCTTGTGTGAGGTACCGGGATTGGCAGTGAGATGCAGAGGAAAGGATCAAAGGTGTTGCTCTGTTTCTGGCAGTGAGGGCAAGTCAGGGAGGATCTAATCAGAGAAACAAGGAGAATTAATGAATTACAACTGACACCACTTTTATGTTCTTATATGAAGCTGAATAGTTGAGCCAGATCAAGACTGGAAATGGGAAACAATTTATTCCTAAGCTCAGGCTCCTGGGAGGCTTCCCATCATCCCATCATGCACTAAGCATTTCTTCTTTCCTGACCTCTTTTCAATCTCTGTATGTTTATACACCACTGCTACATTTAATCACTCTCAATTATAAAACTCTCATAATTTGTCTTTAATTCTGCCTCCCTCTGTTGTCTCCTCACAGCTGATGACTGTCCCTCCCTGATCCTGGTTCTACTGGAGGTTTCTTCACATTAAAAGGAAGTTTATTCTTCTCACTGTTGCCAAATGTTTGCTTTTCAGGGTTATCTGACTGTTGGGGTTTTCTTTTTAATACCGCAGAGTTTTTACCTTACAATATAAGGCAACTGTTAATGTGAATTGGTGCCATATAATAAAACTGAACTGAATTTTAAGTTTCTTGAGCTTTAAATAAAAGGAAAAGAAAAAGAAGAAAAAGAAGCAACAGCAGCTTTGAACCTGCAATCTTAATAATGGCCAGCAGGGGGCAATTGCTCCAGTTACAGAAAGAAGTCTGTAAAGACTGAGGAAATGACTCCACTTCTCACTTGATTTATGAGTTCAGTGAACACTTTTCTGGTGAGTTTATGGTCTTGAAAATGTATTTTCATTCTTATTTAACACTGCTTAACACTTTTTAGGATAAAACATCCACAGCAAAGAATCCACAAACTAATGAGTGATCTCGCTTTCCATTTGCACAGCGTTTGGTTTGATGTCAAAGTCACAGCTGTGTATAAATATCCTCATCTATACCAATGTGGATTCAACCTGTGATCGGCGTTTCACTTGGATGTTTATCACATGGGCAATTACTCTCAGCATAGAAAACAAAGGATGTCGAGGATTTTCTTAACTACGTATGTATGTTTTGTAATACAAGCACGGTGCTAAAGAGTCAAAACAAATGTGCAACTGCCAGCAACTGCAAATTTTACCTGTATTGTGCCTGAAACAGCTCCTGTACAAAAGAGCCAGGTGCTGGTAGTGGAGATCCTTCAGGGACAGTTTCTTCTTCTACTGGAGGCTGAGAATAAACAACAGCAGCAGTCAAGAAGCAATAAAATGTTCAGAAATTACCGAATGCGCAGTTGCATATCTGTTTACTTTAGGACACAGCGGTAACACGTAACTGTGATCTAAATCAGTGTTTACCTTCCTGGGGAGTCTGCTGTCCAGGGGGACAATTTGGTTGAGGTCTTCATGAACTCTATCAAGCAACCAGAGGAGGAATTCTTGGGCATCGTGCTGGGAGTTGCCCTTGAATTGAAGGGCACTCTTTGACACTACATTCTGCAGACAACAGCAGAAAAAAGAAAAATCAAGGAATTGGATGGATTTAAGTGGCTTTCACAAAAAAAACAGAGATGTAGTAAAAGTTCACAGAGAGCGACTCGTTCCCTTTTTCCACCTTGCTTAACTGTGAAATATTCAGCTATGTTTAACCAGGACAACGATTAGCAGAGTCCTAAAGGTCAGGCCAAGCTTTTTAAAGCAAGGACACTGGCTGAAGCTTGACCTTAAACAATAAGCTGCTGGAGATCAAAACAGTGCGTACTCTACAAAGCCGCCCAGGCTGGAAGCTGTGAAGTCACCTCCACGCAGAGGCTATCAAATGTCACACAAGGTCAAAGATACGAGCGGCACTGGGTACTGTGTGGCCGCTCAGCCTCTCCTATGGGACAGTCGTCCTTATTTTAGAGCAGTTACAAAAGCAGCCTCAGCGCTTTTGTGCAAAATGGTGCAAAAAAAACAGGGCCAGGCTATCTTGTGTGGCTCAACCACAAAGGTTGTCTTTAAGTAAAGAGATCTGAGATGATATCAGTGATTCATTTTCTAAATACCCAGGTCTCTTTTAAACACTGCACCTTCACAAAAATAGAACCCTGTAAACTGCTATGCTGTGTGTATTTTTGGTTAACGACAGACAAGACACTGTGAAAAAAATGGGATTGTTATTCCCATAGGGCAAAGCTAGGGATGCACAAAATGTGAAATTCTAAGCCAATAGCAACTGTCCTGATTGTCCTGAGTGCCACTGTATTTGGTTTTAGTCGTTACTCCCTGTTTTCTTCGTTGTGCGATATAAAAACAATGGCTGAACTGTTTCTGAGTCTTTTATTGTTCATCGCACTGTTTGTCAACGTCTAGCTGATAAAAATCGGCCAATGCCATTGGTTTATGCTGTTTTTTGCCGACAGGCCAATAACCAATCAGTATGAAAGTGGCTTGATACTGATGCTCAGCCTGTGTAACTTCATTCTGAATTCATCAGTTGGTGATAATATTTAAAAAGTAATATTAAATGAGGCACTGCATTAAAGTTGTGATATCTTTCTCATAATGCATCATTAGCCTGATTTGTTGGCTTTTTTTCTGCCAAATAAGTGCCCTCACATTTCATACCCCAAACCTCTGGTCTGTTCAAAATCTAAATTGAAAAACCAGTGACAGCAACAAGGCACTACAAAAATCCCCAGTGCCAGGAAGGACAAACTGTTTTCCCAGGCTGTGCACTCAAACACTTTTGCGTGACTCTTACTGACCTTCGTTTGTACCTTTGCAGTACATTTGACCAGGATTTTAGCTGAACTTGTAGTTCAACTTAAATGTCAAATAGCAGGTTGAGCTTGAAAGGATTAAATAAATGTTAAGTAAATGTGGCATAAAATGAATGAAACCACCACACAGCAAAAATATAACTATGTTTCCCGTGTATTTAAAAGGTGCACGATGTATGTATGTATGTGCATTTATAAAACCTGATAAAGAAAAAGTTTCAAAGTTTTTAAAAAGAGCTAGGAGGAGAAACAGGAGAAATAGTAGTTTATCCAACAGAGGGCAACTTCTCTGTTAGCAACACTCATAAAAAAAGTAGTCAAAGACTGATTGTAACAGTAAAAAAGTTTAGTTTTTTTTATTTTTTATTATCTTAGTAGGAGAAGCTACTTTTGGCTGCTCCCATATTGGCAAGTCGTTGCCACAACAGATAGCCCTGCATGGTTTTCCATTTTTTTGTTTTTGTTACTTTTTTGGTTGATTTAGGATTTGCATCTTCTCCCAGATTTGAACTGGAGAACTTTGCTTATTAGACAAATATTATCTTAGTAACTGCCCATAAAAAGCTACACACGATGAATGTCATGCAAAGCTGTTCATATTTCATGGGTCTGAAAGAAAAAATATCGGCTGACATATTGGATTTTTAGATCATCAAATATCAGTATCAGTACGGGTTTTAAAAAATATCATATCAATATTATCATCATATAATTTGCTTTGTTTTGTTTTGTTGGGGGGGTACAAATGTTGAATGTCTCATGTTGGCACTGTCACAACACTTTACTCTGTGTGTAGAGTGACTGCATTGGCTTTGACACTTGACCCTGTTACAGGAAGCCACTTCAGTGTCATCTGATATTTATGCTTTTATCTACATTTAGTTTCATTCTGTTTCATTTTTCTTTGTTGGATTGGATATTTTTACACATTTGAGATATTTAATACACTTTTTATTTATACTTATTTTATATAATTGTATTTATTTTGATCTTTTTTTAAGATATTTGTTTTGTGATATTGTATTTAAATTTTTAGCTATATGCCAATTCTACTTTGTAAGCAGTTTTGTTAGGTCTTTTTAGTGTGTTTCACTTAATGTTCAGCTGGTATAACAAAGGAACTTCCAAACTCTTTGGACAAATAAAATCTCATCTTAAGATGAGATGTGCAGAAGTGCAGACTTGTGCAAAGTCTTTGAGATTTTTAGGTAGTGTACTACAACCAAATCCTCAAACCAGCGGCTTCTGAGAGAGAATGGACGATAAAATAATTCCCTTGTGTTCTTATTAAATCTCCCTAATGGTCTTTAAGTGCTTGTGTGTGTGTGTGTGTGTGTGTGTGTGTGTGTGTGTGTGTGTTCTCCCAAATATCTATGAAATGACACTTTTAAAAGCACCAGTTGGAAGCATTACTAATGTTACTAGCAAACACTTGTATGCTGCAAATATCCTACATAGTTTTATTCTGTTTTTTTTTTAAGGTTATATTCACCCATGTGTCCTTGTCCAGTTCAACATGTTTAATGCTTCTGATGATGAAAATAATCTATATCCAGCTGGACTGTTTGCAGTTTGGCTGGCAACTAAAGCAGAAGAAAATAGACAGAAATAGCAACATTGTCAAGAACAAAGAATGCGCTGTATGGCCCGTTTCTGTTTAGTCTCTCTCCACTTTGTATTGAACTTTTCAAGAACACATCATGAGTGAGAAAACACGTCTTTTGTTGTGCAGAAGCAAATCTTTGTGATCGTGACAGGCAAACTTTTCATCGCCGGGACGCAGATTTAAGAGATGACAATGAAAAACAGACAAGGCTGGAAGCAAAAAGCTGATACAGTCAGCTTCAGTACAGCTCTGCTCAAGATTCTGTTTCATTTACAAGGAAGAAGTGTTAGTCCTATAAACACTGACTTTTCACGGATCACTGGGATTCTACTATAAACACTTTACTGCTTGTAAAGTGCATATATGGCTGCCCCGTGTATGACAATCACACCTGGATCAAAGTCAGAAACACAAAGTGGCATATCTAAAATATAAAACTAATCATCTTTGTAATATTTAAGGAGTTCACACTCAGATTTATCTTCTAACCATGTAAGTTTAGAGAACATAAAAAACACATTGATTTGTAGCCAACCACTTAAAAAGTAGGACTCAGTTTGTTGCTCAAGTTCACTTAGTTGCACTTAAGAGGCAAAAACTTGGACTATAAGGTACAGCTGGTTGTCCCATAAGCTCATATCTAATCAAACGTTAGATGACTGTTGAATTTGGAGCTCAAAGAAATAAAAAAAATATTGCAAAATAAAATAGAAACACAACTTAAATCTAGTGTCTTTTGGACACTTTCTGCTTGCTTGTCAAACTTGTGCAGACCCACACAGAGCGAGGGTCTTTATATGGGTCTCCACGACCTACCTTAAAGTCTCTGCTGTGCTGAGGAGTGTACTCGAAGGTCCACAGAGCCCGAACCAGTCCGGACAGCTGCTCGGTTACCTCCCCTGTCTCCGGCTGCTGCTGGCCTCCCCCTTTTTTCTGCATCAGCACCCCGTTGGACTTGGCCTTTTCGTTGTTGCTTGTCGTCTCTCCACCTTTGAACTGCTCCAAAGCAAGGTACTCAGCAAAGAGCTCTGTGTTGCTCAGGCACTGCAAGATAGCGTTCATGAAGCAGGTGTTGCCGTGGTTCTTGAGCCCGGCGACACCGGGCACCTTATCCCCAAAGGGGAAACCCCCGCAGTCGCTGTCATCCGACGGGAGTGACCCCCCAGTGGTGTTGGGGAGCAAAGTTGCCTCGTCGGTCTCATCCTCGGCGGCCTGCTCGTCGGTGCCAAAATGAGACAGAGTCGAGAGAGTCCGGAGAACTCTGCTCATAAAGCTCCCCACGGAGCGCACCGAGCTCCTCCGGAACAGCTTTTTGCTGAAGGATTTCTTCTCCTTGTTACTCACAACTTTCGACATGATTGCTTTTTTTCTCTCTCTGCCTCTCCGATTTCACACCTTAATTACAGAGAGGGCCCCCACTTTTCAGAGAAACACCCCGTGCCCGCGCACTGACAGCTCCCTCGCTCTGTGGTGCTTTACGGGAGGCCTGAGCATATTTCACTGAAACGTAAAGGCCTGGCAGTTCTTGGGATCATATCATTAGGAGACAGCAGAGTACAGCATCAAATCATCGGCCCACTTGCAACACTGCGTCGGATTGCATAAACTGCCTCCGCGGAGAGCCGCTATCAGGGCGCTTTACGTGAATGCCAGGGGTAGTCCCGCACCCGCCAGCAGCCATCGTCATTTCAAATGGTGACATATCATCACCCGTTTCTTTGTTAGGGTGCTGGAAAAGGAAAAAGAAAGCACGGCGCTGAGGGGGCTCGGGTATCAGTGTCAGGCACACATAAACATCAAATCCACTACTCGCAATTAGGCTGAGAGTGACGAGCGGAATTCCTCATCATTTATTATTAAACGAACCGCAGCTCCACCCTTTTAAAGGTATTTCTTCTGACCCCGGCCATCGAATCCGCGCTGACGTTGAGAACCGGTGGGTCGGAGATATGAACCAAGTGAACGTCTTCCCTAAATCGACTCCACGGGCGCGCTGCCAAACTGAGGAACCCCCGACCGAAGCGACACAGCGCGCCGCTCCCTGGCGTTTGGCTGCTGCGGTGCATCTCTCCCTGCGCCAAACGCGTGAAGCGGACGTTCCCGTTTCTCCATCTGAAAGTTTGTTGTCCTTTTTTTTGTTTGTTTAAATACTTGTCCGCTTCGTGCGCCTTAATTCCGCCTCCGAATGAGATTCACGGCGAGGCCGCTTCTCCCGTCTCCATCACCACCATCATCATCTGTGGGCAACGATACTGCAGGCAGGGCGGTAACGGCTGACGTCAGGGCCAAACACTGGTCCATGTTGGAGGAGAGCAGGTACAGCGGCATGTGATGATGCTCCGTGCCTGTTTGTGGACAGCGCGGACGCCGATCCCAACCAATCCGGTAACAGTGGTAATATATTACTCTTTCACATTATTTTACATTATTTGCAGCTGAGCTTATAGCTGGGGGGAAAGGACAACAAAGGAATTTTTGTTTTAAAAAAAACCCCCATAAAATTTAATTAAAAAACAAACAAACAAATAAATTATGTAAAAATGTTGCCAGTTGCTATGAATTGTTCTACGGTGGCTACACAAAAGACACAACACAGTTATTTTCATTATCAGCTGATGTTTCCCGATATTGTAGGCTATTGCTGGGCCACTGGCATGTCGGGAAATCGTGGAAAAGTCAGATTAATTAGAATTTATTTTACTTATATGGGCCTAGCGACAGTTCAAGACAACAGTCGTTTCAAGGCAGTTGATGTTGTAAGGTAAAGGCCCCACAATATTCACAGCTACGCAACAATAACATGATCCCCTATGAGCAAGCATTTGGCAACAGTGGGGAGGAAAAACTTCTCTTTAACAGGAAGACATATTTGGGTGAACCAGGATCGAAGGATGTAGCCATCTGGCAGCTGGTTGGGCAGATGGCTGCACCAAAAGTAGAGCAATTCTCCCTAAAGACTCAGTCACACTAGACTACTAATACCTGTGGGGAGCTCCTTAAAGAAAAAAAAATGAGTGGATTTCATTTCCTCACATTTAGTGACTGACTGCAAGTAAGTGTGTGGGACCAACTGGTCACAGGACCACAATTATTTGTTATTGGTTGCCTCCCACCTGGATAGATGTGCAACTGCTTGCAATCCAAAGTGGACTGACTGCCATCAGTCTCAGACATATTGGGTTTGCAAATAACTGCCCTTTAATTTATAAACGCAGACAATTGCCAACAAACTGCAAACAACCTGAGTGAGTCTGTACTGATGAGCGCAACATGTCCCTGAGGTTTTCATGTCCCTGAGGGACTCGGTTGGTTGTGTTCTTGTTATATTACCATATAAAAGCAAAGTTGAGACATTTGTGTTTCAAATTTAAGGTCCTGGGTGGACTCTGAATTTAAGCAGTTCATAGAGTTATCATTGCGTACCTCATTCACTCAAACTGATCGCAGACTGATTCAGTTCCATCGCCATTTCGACTCACATAATTTGCTTTGAAGATGGCAACTGACAGCGTCTCAGATGCAAAAGCAACCAGGCCACAATTTCATATCACAGGGTCACTCTAATTTGGGTCTTGCCACAGTCTCCAACCACCATTTTTTTTTAATGTAACTGTAGCATGAGCCCAAAGCTGCACACTCCATCTCCTGCTGCGATAAGGGACAACTGCAAAACTGTCCGACCTGATTCGTCCACATTTTCAGTAGTTTAAATGTGTGAAAAGAGCTTTACAGCAAAGTCTTCTTTGCCTACTCGAGTCCCCTGACAATTAACCGTGACAGACAAGCCAATTTTCATGTCTTAAAGGTAGGAAGTGGAACATACAACGCAATACACAGTTTACCACTGAGGGATCCTCATTCAGCGCTTGATTCAGTCCACTGAATTAAAATAATACACATAGCCACACTACAGTGTTTACATCCATGTTTTATATACACGTTTCCACCATACTGCATGTAAAAATATTAACCATGTCACCAGTTCAGCCCACCCACAACCTCAACAGATCACTTTCTCCCTTATTTTCAAAGTTAAATTACCAGAAATGAATAAAGTTTGTCACTATTATTACCTAAATATAATTTAATAATTACGATTTATTCATTAGCATGACAGACTTGTTTAAGTAGATTTAAATGCTCTGAAGCTGCCCCCGTCTTATAAATGCAGAAGTGAAAAATGACAAGTCAAGACACATTCCCCTTTTGGTTCCACTTGAAGGCATCATCACTGGTGAGACATCATCATTTCAAACTCACAAACATTAATCAGTTAAAAAAAATGAAAATAAAATAAAATAAAATAAAAAAAAAGGTCAGACCTGCCCTTATTTGAATCTCGTCCCATAAATGCCATATTTAGACACAAACGTCTTTAAATGCTGCAGCTGTCAGCGAGATTAGTCACTATGATATTAGGGGAACTGTAACATGTAAACCAGCTGATATTAACATCACATTCTTCTGTTTGTTTACAGCACAGGACGTCCCCAGGGCCGCCCTTGAAGCCATGCAACCTATCGAGTCCTTTTGCTTTTCTCTTAGTAGTCGATGCTCCGAAGTGCAGCGATAGTGGACGTCAGTCGTCGAGGCAACAGCTTGGCGGTCTGTCTGTAGTCTTGTGGTTTAGTCCTAAGTAGAGTTACGATATTTTGCAGGGTGCGAGACGGCTGCAGGCCCAGGGCGTCCATCACGTTACTCAGATAGTCTGTGGAGCACAAACACAAATGTTCAGATATAATTTCGGGCTATCGTGAATTTCAATTGATCCCCACGAGAAGGAGTACGTCATCTGTCCCGCATTTTAGCTACTGTACCGATATCCGTGGCCAGTTGTTTAGTGGAATGAGTGCTCAGCTGGGGGATCAGTAAAATGGCATCACAGTAGGTCTGCATGGTTGCCCGAGCAATGGAGCCCAACCAGTAGTCTGCTGTGTTGTCCAGCTCAGTAAGCTCATCACCTGAAACAGAAGGAGAAGGTCTTTGAGAAGGGCACCAGATTACAAGACATCTCTTCAAATGAGTTGAGTTGTCACTCAAGTGTCTTTGACTTTAGGGAAAATTGAGGGGGATAATTTTCAGTAACCTTGCTCTGGAGGGAAAGGCAGCTTCCCAGCATGTAAGGCCATCTCTAAAGCCGGGTCCTCTTGTGTCACAAAAGGCTCCAAGTGGAGTGGGAGAGACATCAGGTACTGTCCTATCTATGTGGAGGGAAAAGTCATATGGTCTCTGTAAATATGTACAAATGCCACTGTATCCTGTTTATTTATATTTATCAAATGAAAGTTCACTAACATTAGTGATGTACTCTTGGGGTGACAGGCTGAAATTAGGCAGGTCCTCCGTGTAGCTCTCTCCAAGACCAGGTGATTCTTGACTCTTAAACAAGAAGCACAAATCAAACAGATTAAACGGATACGGCACATCCACCACTCGAGTGCGCAAACTCAATCCAAAAGCTGTCAGCACACATGCACTCAAATCATCTTGATCCTTATTTGAAATTAAATAACGCAGAAACTTGACACCTCCATCTTGGAGACGAGGCAGAGCTGGTGCTTGATCTGCATGAAGACCGAGTCAAAGGCCAGCTGGTTGGCCTGTTGATTGAGTCTGGTCAGAGCTGTCCTAGGCTCTGCTAACAAGTTGGAGTTACCTGTGCCTTTCTCCTGCGAGGGACAAGCAGAAATAGGAGGAAGAAGAAGAACAGCTACAGAAGGACCCTGATAAACCAAGTGTAAGGGTTCAATACAGAAAACTGCCACACCTTTAACGAGTAAAGAAGTTCCATCAGATTGTTGTATTCAGCCACATTTCCCCTCTGAAGGTAGTTGTATTCTTGCCAAGGGTTTTTGGTGGCACTCTTCCTTTCTGTGGAAGTGGCCTCCTGGATGCCTGCCAGGCTGCGTGGGCTGTACGACTCTGACAAGTACTTACCTGCCGTGGCCAGGATCCTATGGGACAGATCGCAAAGTAGACATTTTCTTTAAAATTCCAGATCAGCTTCTTGACTGTGTGCTCACTGTCATTGGGTAAAAATATTCATTCAGTAAAAAGATTCACTCACTTGTTTGACAGCTGTTGTTCAAAGGCCCCACATTGTCTAAGCAACTCTCCACATGTGGAAATGATCCTGCAAACAACAATATTGTTTTTTAAAGCAAGAAGACAGCTTTTTTCATGCAATTATTTGCAGTCCATGTGAATTATAACAAAAGGGTTTGTTGTTTTTTTTGTTTTTTAAAAAGGTAATAACCTGACTGAGTTCTGGAAAGCCGTCCAGTCCTCCTGGAAAACCGATGAACTTGGTGTGTCCTCAAGCTTACACTTCTTCCTGATCGACTGGAGTGTTGTGGAAAAGTCTGACACATACCTAGAATCAGCACCACGTCAAAGCTGGTCAATCATCTACAGTAATGCTAAAATCAGACAAACTATATCTAGAGATAAAACATATATCTGTAGCAATCCATGCAGTATGTGGCGTATGTGAGTGTGAGTAGAGGCTCTTTACTTGGTGAAGAGGGCTTTGAGAGCTTTGAGGAGGCCACACACTGCAAGTCCATCAGTCAGTCTGACACAGCGGTCCACAGCAGCACCAGCCAGGCCAAACAACTTGCCTACCGAGTGGCTCAACTCTTCTACGCAATCAATTACCTCCCCATGTTCCTGTAGTGGAGTGTGCAAAACAGGACAAAATGGACTATTATGCAGACTATATTAGTGTCACTGCTACATACAAACACATTTTTAGCTTATGAATCTCAGCAACTTAACCCTGTAATGGCGAGTTTTTTTTAGATTTCTACATCATCAGTGTGATCTATGTTTTCCTTAAAAGCCTGAATAAATTGCACAAAAATGCCAGATGTAGCAAAATTATGGAAATTAAAAGCCAGATATGCAAATTGATATTTAATTAATTTTGTCATTTGTGAGATGATTTAATAAACACTCCGTGATGGTGGTGTTTAGTGCCTTGTTTCCTTCAAAACTTTGTGTCGTTTTGCTGCAAATAATAAGTCCTCAAAATAATTGTGCTGGAGGAGTTCTGCAGCTATTCCTCACTTTTTCCCTTTTTGCTGTTTTTCTAACCTCGTTCAGTTTTACATGATGCACTTCTCCTGTAATCCTCATCCCATGGAGTTTAGGAACAGTCATGACTTTCATTCATCTGTAAACAGTTTTTGGGTGGATTCTTTTTAAACATCCATTTAGCTTCTGACTTCATGCATCTATTCTAAGGAGAAGTGAAACTTGTTTTCACAGACGATAGGTCCTACCAGTTTTTCTAGGCAACAGCAGACTTTATCAGCAAGTAAACTTTGTTTGAATACCGGGAGGGGCACCACAACACTTCAAATCTCTCAGTAACTGGAACACCTGACTGACAACTTGACAAGTTGTTAGCAAACAGGTTCACAACTCTTTCTGTTGTTAGTTCAGTTATAATTAGTTAGTTAGTTTAGTGTATAATTATGATTTGGATAAAGATCAGACTACAAGTAATTACTGCAAAAATTCTGGTTATTTCAATGGTTGAGTTTCTGGTGTGCTCTAACCAAAGGCACGGCGCTGATCTGGATGAGAAGGTGAGCTTCCTCCAGATCTCCATAATGTAGCTGATAAGATTTATAGGGATCATACAGCGCACAGACCAGCTCACTCAGCTTCAAGAGGTTATGTTCACCTGCAGCAGAAATAAGACCAAACATGAAGAGAACACTTTATGTTGTCATCTTCCATGAGCAGTATTTACACATATGGTTCAGGTGCATACCCAGGTGTGGCAGCATGGCTGCTTCAAGGTTGTGTCCAAAGGTGGACGTGGTGTGATGGAGCTCCAGCAGAGTCCCCAGACGCTCCTCTTGGGCTGCCCGCTCCATGGCCGTGCTCAAGCACACGGGTATGGATGGCACCATGGCCCCCAGAGACTGTATCAACAACACTGTCACCACTTCATAAGGCTTCTTGAACACCTGTGTGGATCCAAGATAAAAAAAAAATTAGCACTACAGAGTGTTAGCAAAGTAAAACCCATCAGGTGTCGATCTTGGTACTGCAGTCCATCTCACCTGGCTGCTCCACTGTATTTGGCCGTGCCAAGTGGAGAGCAAGGTGTCGTAGAATTCAGACAGCTGCTGATTCAGATTGAGCTCGCTCTGGGAGAGATCCTGCCATATACTCAGCAACTGGCCCTGAGAACAGCAAAACAGACAGTCATGCACAGAAGCAAATATATCAGAATATGCCTTTGCGGAGATTTATAGGTCACAGAGATGCAGTGGTGCCTACCTTGTGACACTTGTAGTAGTACGCAAGAAGCTGCGGCATTCTGTCGATCTCTGTGAAGACTTTAACAAACAGCTTGGCTTGGTCTGCAGAGAGGCAAAAGCATGCGATGTTTGTACAGTGTAAGCAAACTACAGCAAACCAAAACAGTAAGCACTGAATAAATTCAAGAAACAACACTTTCTCTGGGGTTCTTACCTACAGACATGGAATTAAACGCTGCTACTATCTGTGGGCTGGCCATGGCCTCCAGTCTGTTTTTCAAAGCCTCCAGGTGAACACACTTATCAGAGTAGTCTGGTGTGTCCACTAGCATGGCCAGACTGTTCTGCATGCTGGTTAGCTTAGAAGAAATTACTTTAAAGTCCTGAAAAAAGTAAAATATGATTACTATCGTTTCCGTCAACATCTGCACAATATCGTAATATTATATAATTAGCTTTCAAAGGATAAAAAGCTAATTACAATAGCACTGTAATTACACATTACTCATCCAGTGCCTTGGAAGAGGTTTGACTCTACAGTGGATCAGTTTACAGGATGTGTTGAGTACACTCAGAAAGTTAGATTAAATAACAAGATTAAAGTGCTCCAATATTCTGATCTCTAACACGCATATGAGCCAGTGTGAGTCACATCAGTTCATAATTGGTAAGCAGCAAGGCAGGCAGAAACAAACCAAGAAAAGCTCTGCGGCAGAGTCTTCCTTTCATACCTGTGTTTTGAAGGTCTCCTCAATGTCTGCACTCAGTGTGCTCCATTTGTCTGCTTCCTGCAACGCTTCAGCTGCCAGCTGCATTCGACTCTTCACCTGATCTATCTCCACCAGGACCTGGTTGAAAATATGCATGAAACATACAGTTCAAGCCTCAGAAGTATGGAGTACTCTGCACATTTGAGTCCAGTGCTAGACTTTCACTATTATAATGCTTACTATTAAGCAAATTATTTCAAAAACACAATATACAAAGTATGTATACATGTTCTCCTAATGCACTAGATCACATTTAAATCCTGAATACACTTCAAGTAAGTATTGGAACTGTGCACACACCTGCATGGACTGCACTGTCTCCTGCTCAAATTTCTTGATGTCCTCTTTAACCATGACCATTTGCTCCTTTAGAAAGGAGGCCTCCTGTTTCAAAGCCTCCACATCTCTCAGCACTCGGGGCATATTTTGAAGGGCTTGGTTACTGCTCTCTACACAACAAATGAAAACACAACTCTAACTTTTTAACATGTCATAGTTAAATTCAACACAATTTTATCCATGCAGTACTGGTACACAGTATAAATACAAATGCCATGGCGCTTAATATCGTAATGTAGAAACCCACCAACTCTGTAAACTCAGTAAACTGTAAACTTCCCTTTCTGTTAGTGAAAAGAAGTTTTACATATTTAGCTGAGATGTCATGGAAAAGGGAATCCAATTTCAACAGTATTTGTTAGTTTTTCCTACATGATAAAGAAAAGCTTCTGTAGGAAGTGTAAGAAAGGTGTCAACAACTGAAAAGACATTTTTAATCTCAAGAGTTTATTTCTTTCCTGATTAAATAAAAGTTAACAATAACAACAATAACAATAATAATAATTAGGGCTTAAACAGACCTCATCATACTAAATCATACTTTTTATTAATCTCTGGCTCTCTTCCACAGCACGTCTTTTATCATGGCTTCCTTCTTTCAACCGGTCACAGCACATTGCCGTCCCTCCCTGAGGTGGAGGTTTCTGCTGGAGGTTTCTTCCTGTTTAAAGGGAGTTTTTCCTTCGCACTGTTGCCAATGTGCTTGCTCATTGGGGGTCATATGGTTGTTAGGTTTTTCTCTGTATGTATTATTGTAAGATCTACCTTACAATATAAAGTGCCTTGAGGCGATGGTTGTTGTGATTTGGAGCTAAAACTGAATTGAAGAACTAAAGGTAAAAGAAAACCAGAAAATATTCTGGTAGTTTATTGGCCAGACTGACCTGTAATTTTACAACAGAAGGTTTCTGGTAATTAACAGAAAGTTCTATAGTCAATAGTGAAAACAAATTAAATTTTTATGTCATTTAACTGTTTGTTTATCACTTTCGTATATTATTCATGACAAACAGATCTTTATAAGAAAGAAAAAATGTAATAAATTACACAAGTACAAATTTTAAGCCAGCTCTGACACCTCTGATCTAGATACACAAACTCTTAAACTGATGTATGAATAGAACATAAATCTTCTCAAAGACAATTTCTCATTACGTGTTGTGTTCACGTCTAACAAGTCATTTTCTCATAGGTGTTTGTCCAGGTAGAGATCTGGTGAATGTAAAGGCCACAGTAGATGATTCGTATAATTTTCCTACACCTAAAGCCATTCAGTGCTCACTAATGCCCTGCTGATGGGGACACCATGACTCTTTCTGTAAAGTTTTCCTTTAATTTGTCATCAGAAGATTTCATACAGCATGCAATTTCCAAATGCACAAACCATAGTCCTTAATGACAACAAAGACACATGGTCACGTGGTTATGGTCCTTTTTAGAGGATTGTGGGGCAGCTGAATTGTATTGGTTCTACAGAAGTATTTATAAAACTGACTTTGCCGTTTATATTAATGCAATAAATGCAGCAGAAATGTTCTTGTAGCATACTGCATTAACTGTAAATGGGACGTAGTTTACTAAGTTAACAGTGTAGGCCATAAAGGCAAATTACAATGGTGAGGACATCCACTATGACGCACTGGCCAATGCAAAGTACTGACCTTCGATAGCATTGTTGACTTCCTGGATGAAGACCTGCAGCTTCATGACCAGTGTAGCAGCGTGTGCGTCTGCCTTCCCCGGCGCGTCCTTCTGCACCACCTTGAAGGCACCATTCACCCAGTCCTTCACGTCGAAATCATCGTCCAGGAATTTAGAGAAATCCATCTCGCTGCTTCGTTCGGCCAAACTCTTCCGCTGCAGTCTCTGTCATCGACCCATTTCTATCGTTACGCTAGCTAATTTTTCCCCAGCACCGGCTTCGACACGAATATAAAATAAACAGCCCACGAAAATGAAATTATCATGACAACTAAATAGAGTTCCAACAATGCGACGGCCTCCTCCAGAGTTATTTTCAAAGGTTTACGGCTTTAAAAGACTACAGGGAGCACATATTTCTAACTAGTACTGACTGCAGTGGTAATGCTGACAACAACTTCCTGTAGCGCTTTCTATTTACCTTCCCCCTAAAAACAAATGCTAAAAAAACGGGCCGGCTGCCCAATAAAAATCCCATCAACAGACTGAGGAATGTTCGTTCTTTGTAAACAAAGTGTAAATATCTGTTTGTTTTTTAAGAAGCATGATATCTTGAGGGCAGCTCATAAAACAGTAGCACATAAAGCGGCGAAGAGGGGTCACATTAAATTGGTCCGTACAGAAACATTGATAAAGGAACCGTAAATGGTATTTCTTGGAAAGTGGACAACCCCAGGTTAAAAAATTCTACCAATCAAAGTCAAAATTAAAGTTAAAAACATTACATCCGAACATATTTTATTATTTTTTGTCATAGCCAATACACTTAACTAGGGTGACCAACCGTCCTCTTTTCCCCGGACATGGGGGAAAGCCATTCGTACTTTGTATAGACATATAGTCTCTGGGCTGCGTGGCTGTGACTCTGTACACTGCTGTACCCTGCTGTATCCTTTGCTGTACCCTGGACAAAGTGAATATGCCATGCTACGATACATAACGGAGACCCAAGGACAACTCCTGGGGAAAATGTTAAGGGCAAAATACTGCCACGTTTTTCTGCAGAGAGTTAAATTCCTACATCTACCACTGGAAACTCAAGACAACTGAACAATATTTTCAGGAGTTTGAGATTCAGTTTGTTAAAAAAAGAGGTATAAAGTTACATTCTCTGGATGGCCTCTTACATATCCACCTCATCGAGGATCAGGATTATGCACATACAACTGCAAAAAGGTGTGATATCCTGATGTTTGTTGAAATGGTAAAGCACTTGCTTCACCTCGATCCAAAAAAACGAATGACACCTGATCAGGTGCTGGACGATGCGTTTACAAAAGTGTGCCCTGCTTGCACCAGTGTAGCTCCTATGTTGAGTCCTGTTATGAACACATACTTAAGGACAAAGAAGAACGAGGCGTCAGATAGCAGGACAGAGTCTCCACACCAGCCCACCTCTGACACCAGACAACCTGCCCAAAGGAACTTCCCTCCCTCTGCAGCGGAGAGAAAAACACTAGTGAGCCCCCGCAGCCAAAACGGTTTTCTCCCTTCAACTCAGAGGAACAGCCCCAACCTCATCAGGCCCAGTCAGAGTAAAAATGCTGAGACAATTCCAATGAAAGCACTGTGTAAAAGAAAGCATCTGGAAGTAGATAAAAAGGATATGAGTGATGCAGAGCTTAAAAGAAAAAAGACTGATTGGAAAGATGTGCACATAAAAACACTGTACCAACATGAAAGGTCAGATCATGACCAGCAGAAGCGCCACTGTTCTATGGGTCCATCCTGCTCAACCAGTGGCTACAGGACACAGAATTCCATCTCGCCAAGTAAGAGGAAGCCAGATGAAAACATCTTTGAGACGTCAAATAAGAGGGCCAGAACCAACTGCGAAAACAGCAAGAGCCACACCTTTAATGACAGTTGGGATGAGGACCACCGCTGCAGAGAAGCAAAAGGAAGCAGAGTAACAGGTGGAGAATAGGCAAAGGAGGGGTAAGTGGTCCGGGTGGCGTGGTACTGACAGAGATGATCCGATGAGTAGTTCTTCTAATAACTATGACGGCTAGCACTAACTGCGGTTAGCTGAAGACTTGGCGAAGAGTGATGGTAAGTGCTGGTATTAAATACCGGCAGCTCTATTGCCGGCAGGCGTGGAAACACACATGAATGCAGTGACTCAGCTTAGGGGTGGAAACGGCGACTCTGTGGAAAACCCGGCACTCACCCAGACCATGACAATCAGTATGTAGTGTCACTAACACTGTGGGACTCTATAGGTTTCTCTGGTCCCTTCTTCAATCTTGTCCTTCAGTGCTGCAACCACTGCATGTCATTAACGTTCTTCTCGTTCCAGGAGATTTTCCCCTTCTCTATACTCTCCTGGGAACGTTAATCCATCAGTGTCAGATGAACTGTTCAAACTGTACTTCAGCTGCCCTGACCTCTTCATTCTTAACCTTACCTTGTTAACAGGAAGCAGGGGAGTTAGAGGATTAGACGGGTGACATGAAAGCAGATCCTGAGAAGTGATGAACAAGGCTGCACGCGAGCACATAGATATGATAGGCGGTAAATTAGGCAGAAGGTATGGACCCAAACTTAGTGCTGACATATGTTCATAACACTGGAATAAGGATCAGTAATTACAGGATTGCACTGAGAATTTTCATGGATAAACTGCACGGGGATCTGTATGAAGTCTACATGAAGTCATAATCTGAGCATTATTATTATTAGTAGTAGTAGTAGTAGTAGTATTGTTATCTTCTTCATCATCATCATTATTATTATTATTATTTTGAGTTTCTTTGGATATGAAACCAACAAAATAACATTGTGACTCCTACTATAAACTGTCAAATAGAAATGTGGCATATGCTTTAATTGTGGGTAAAAAGCTTTTCTTACCCACATGTTTGAAGAATTTCAAACATATTTAACCTGGACCATAAACAAGACTTTTTCTAATCTGTTCCAGGGTCTGGAATCTCTGATTTGCCTTGCTTTCATCTTGACCAGGAGGTGGGCCAAGAGTTATGTTCACTTAAGTCCAGGACATGTGGAGAAGTAACACAATTGTCTAGAAAAGGAGACAGTGAGACACAATCACTAGCAAAAACAAAAGGTTTTGATTAATGATTAATCTTAAAATATGTGCCAGGCTGCTACTACTAACTAACACAAGAACAAACAGCAGAGGCTGGTCAACAAAGCAATTCACAGATTATTCTCAGAGAAAGCCTAAGTGGTCACAAACACACAGATCACATGAAGTCAAAAGGCACTTTGGCACTGGCAGTGTCTTCTGCATCAATTTGAGCTCCTCAGATTACATTGCCTCCACAGGAAAAAGTGTGGTTTCTAAGACAGAGCAGAGAGAGCACTAAACTAAACTAAACTAAACTAAACTAAACTAAACTAAACTAAACTAAACTAAACTAAACTAAACTAAACTAAACTAAACTAAGGTGACCAACCGTCCTCTTTTTCCCGGACATGTACACTTTTCACGTTCTGTCAGGGGTGTCCGGGGGGATTTTCGAGATTGATGAAAATGGTTTTTCTATAGGCCTACAGAGGATCCATATGTGCGACGTCATCCCAGAACTGCTGCTTTGTGAGTGGTTGTTCAGCCTCACAGACGTGACAGAGCACGCCTGATGATGTTTAAAAGATGCGAAAGTGCAAATGCAGCTTGACTGGGCCAAGTGTCCTCCTTTTTGGAAATCAAAATAGTCCCCCTGCACTTAACAGTGTTTCGAGGGAATGACAATCATTGGCTTTCACAGATCTGCATTTAACTATATGTGTTAGAATTCAAAAATAATCTTTTCATCAGAGATAGCTGACAGAAGTTCCTGAGTGGGCATGTGCATCTTGTGCATCTTCTGCTGGCCTTTTATTTTATGATGTTACTCTGGGTCTTTTTGAATAATTCTGGTTAAAAAAGAACCAGAATATATTGAAAGAGTTACACTAATGATTCCAAAACAAACGCCGTTCTCTGGGAAACCATGGTTTTACACACTGTTGACATTCTGTAACTTTTCATATCCTTTCCATGTGCTGTGACAGACATTTATCACTACACTGAGATCAGTCCCAGAAAGTTATGCAAAATGAAAGGCAATAAAAGATTGCATGGAAAACAGGGCTGTGAAGGAACGGAAAGCATAGATCAAACATACCTCAGTGGGTGCTTAGAGCAACCTGGGAGCTCATACATAGGTTACGCAGCTATTTTAACAGTTGTTCGGTTCAGTTTAAAGAGATGGGAATACTTGATGATATTAAGAACACAGTGTCGCAGGCTGTGTTCACTCCTTCCACTCTGATGTCCGGGCGAGGAGGGCTGCACATGGCTCAGATATTACTGTGTCTGGTTACATTTGTCATAAGTGCCTTCAGAGGAGGGAGCAGCCATACCTACTGGAACTACGCCATGTTTGCCTGGTCTTTCTGTCCCATCATGACCCTCATCATCACCATCATTGAGATGTTCATGCTTGACCCACTGCTCAAACTTTGCCTGGACTGGAGAGATTTCACCACAGGGATGGCCATGTCCTCCGCGCTTATGACTGTCAGCGTTGCTATTTTCTATGCCAATTTCTACATCTGCCGGACATGCCTGCACGGGTGGATTGTGAGCATATTTGCTTTCTTGTCCGGCATCGTCTACATACTCGAAGTGGTGAAGGACAAGATCTTCGATAAGAGTACGGGGAGCTACCTGTCCGCCCTACCTGGATTCATGAAAGTTATGGAGGCTTTCGTGAGCTGCATGATTTTTGTGTCCCTGACCGGTTACAGAGACTCCTTCCCTCTGATCTTGTGTGTTATAGCATACGCCATTCCATTTCCCATTATCCCTATAATCATTGCCACCAACATCCTCAAGAAACTCAAGAATTGCTTGCCTTTTAATCTGGACAGGTTTGTCTTTATATTCCTGGTCATCTCCGTTGTGCTCTATGTATTTACTGCTATCATGTGGCCCATTTTTATGTTCAGACACAACCCTCGCCCCAGCGACTGTCCACCCAGCTATTGCATATGGGCCATTCAGTTCATGGTTGCCTTTTTCACCTATGTCAACCTCATTCTATTCGTACTGGACCTCATTTTCACTCTGCTTGGTATCTGTGGCTTTAAACGCCCATAAACTGGTGCCTTTCTTTGTCCATCAAAATTCTTTTAAGTTGTACTTCAGGTTAACAAACACCAAAAAAAGGGTTAAAATCTCGTTTTTGAGTTTCTATAATGCTTTCTGAAACTGGTATATTGAGGTCCATGTAAATAGACTAAAGCATATGGCTGTAACACACTTGTGTTTAATCTGCATCAGCACTTCAGGATATCATTGTTGGGTAGCTTGACAGATAGCTCTACAAAGTTTAATACCATGAATGTGGATTATAATTTCTGTTTTTATAGTTTCTGTATTTTTACCATTATAAAATTGAGTATTTGAATATTGCTTTGTTATGTTTTGTCAAACTGAAATGCACAATGAGTATTTGAAGTGAGGCATGAGTCAGTTTCGTGTGTCCTCCCTCTGCCTCACTGTCTGATTGTAAGTTTTATCTCCCCCACAATAACATTTGTGTTATCTCACAGCTCCTTACTACCACGCTCTTACAGCAGTCCTTGTCATTTTCCACCTGCAGCTACTTATGTTGAAATCCACTTATCTGATTCAATATTATATAGTATTCATAATCATGTCAAGCTCTGACCTGCTATTTATCATATATTCCTGACTGTGTGCACTATTGTGATCATTCCTGGTTGGTGACAATCACCTATTTAAAATCTATCTTTGTATGTATGAATACAGTTTAAGGGGGTTTATGCTTCGTTCTTGCTACAAATGTGCTGCACGTTTCATTTCCTCTGCCTAGAGAAAACTGATTGAGTGATTTTTGTTTTAAGATGTTGCAAAAATAATAAATTTAGTGCCTGAAAAACTTTTGACATATTGTCCTTTTTAATTAAAAAGCACAAGGTGACAATGTTAATGAAAAGTTACTTTTATCACATCATGGTTATTGTAACAGGAGATGAAAAAAGAGGCCATAACCAAAAGATTAAAACCACAGAAGACAGCAAACTATTACTATAACATTGTACCCTCTACACACAATAATAGGCAGCATATTCAAATGTCATCACCGTGGCTGCTGAATGCCATCAAACTGGGATAGTGAGAATGCAAATGCAGCAGGGACATTGCACAGTAAGTAGCCATCAGGCAGAACCTGTTCAGCAAATGTACACATTAAGCAGTATTTTTTTTAAACTACTTTAAGAAAATAGTTAAAGTTCACATAAAAACAGAACTTTATAGTCCCAAAGCTGGAAGAGTCAGCACGCTGCTGTTATTCAGGCGTCCTCTGGTTCTTCAAACTCCACAGTCTCCAGCAGACCCTGAAAACAGAAGTAGTGGGAGTTGCAGTAGACCGGAGGTTTGTGGGCACATGAGTCCACAACTTCTGGCTTTAGTGATGCAAAAGGGTTGGCTCCACTTCCTTTCATGTCCATTTCCAGCTCCAGCAGAATTTGCAAAGAGTAGGTCATCTCTGTCTCACTGCAGACGGAGAACAAGCAGACATGATCAGCAGACATTACACGCAGCAAAGCATGGCAAATGGGCACATTAGCTCTCAGTGATAAAAGAGGAGAAGCAGCAGAAAGTTTAGGCTCGGCAGACTGCTGTGCACTTGTAAGATATAATGTATAATACAATAATGAAACTGACAAGCATGTCACCTGATTAGAATGTAAAACTGACTGTTACAGTATAGCTTATTAAACTGAAGATCCCACATGACGCCACTTAACGCAGGATCTTCTCATTTCCCCAGAATTAGTCGCTCAGGTTCTTACTTAAAACCCCTCACAGATCTCTTATTTATTCTGCCACGCCTGTGTAGCTGAGGTATTCTCACTGTCTGGCAGTATCAGCATCAGCGCTTGTAAATGCAAATGACCCGGTGCTCCTCACAGGCCGCGTGGGCTGTGCCTTTCCAGTGATGGACAAAGCACTCTTTTTTTTTCCCCCATTGTCCCATATTATCAGCATCAGTGCGTTAAAGATCTGTTGGAATGAGTAGTTCTCCAAAGCTGCAGGTGCATATTCCCACTCACTGAGGTTATACAAGGCCAAGATTCCTCATTGGCTGAAAAAGCTGCTCCTTAATTCTTAATAATCCAAATACTGAAGATGTATTCTGGATTTAATTCTGAAGATGTAATGTTTGGCATTACTCTTGAACTTGCTGGGTTATACTGCAGCAGTTTCAGCTGCTGACTGTGATGGTGAGTAATCGTATCCCTAAATACACGCCGCTAGGAATATTCTTACTCCCAGTTATCCTACACACTGTAGCTTTAAGTAGCATTAGCATGCCATAACAATGCTATCAAAAGTCCTCATCATGTAGAACAGCCAAGGTTTTCTTAGTTAATGTTGTACTATATTTGATTATTATTGATGAACTAACATGTAAACAGAACATTAATGTAGTAGTTGAGAGAAGCTGAGCTCATTTTAACTATTCTAGACAGCAGTAACTTCATATCTGAAGTAAAATAATGCGGTGTGGATCGCAATGTTTCCCTTTAGCAATAAAATATCATAAAACAGAAATGTAACCAAAAAAAGTTAAAGAACCTGAAAACTAAATATAAATGTAATAAGGTCAAAATGTCACTCACGTGAGAGCAGTGAAGAGAGAAGGAATTTCATAATCTCTGAGAAGCAGGAGAGTTGGAAGCCAACCCTCGTCCAGACCTTGGCTGGCATCAAATCCTTAATAAAAATAAATAAATACATTTAAAATAGGAAGGAAAGAAAACCAAATAATGAATAAGATCTCTTAACTTTTTATTGCTCAGTAAGAAACAGACACACTATTATGTGTTTATATAAGGGAGAAAAAAATTTTCTCACCAGGATGAAATCCAACAACCAAATCTGGCTTGGCTGCCTCCTCTTTCTCCACCAGCTCCTCCCAGAACTGATGGTAGAGGCCCTTGTAGGCGCTGATGTAGACTCTCTGTTTGGGTCCAAAAGCTCTGAGGGGAGGCCTCACAATGGGGCCGTCCACCACCTCAGGCCCCACCATGACTATTTCGATCCCCTGGTGTCCGGGGAACATGTTGTTCAGCTCATCGTAGTCGGTCAGTCTGGCTGACAGAGTCTCAGTGTGGCCTGCTCCCACCAGGTGAATGGTGAGAGGTTTGGATAAAGGGTTTAGACCAAACAGCCTCATCCCCCAGGCTATTGTCAGGGGCCTGGAGAAGAACTCGCTGCAAACCCTCCACAGCGACTGCTTCAGATCGTCATCATCTGGCCGAGGCCGACCAGCGTTGGACCACAAGTCGTTCATGTTTTTTCCATTTAAAACGGGATCGAGGCGTGCTGTGAGATCTCCCTGCATGGAGAGCCAGTCATCGAAACCTTTTACCTCGGACTGGGACTTGGACCATTTTTCTGTAGGAAACGGGAGGTCTCCTGAAGACAAATAAAACTGGCAGTTTGAGCAAGGTTAAAACGGTTTGTTAATTTTTTGTTTTAAATTCACATTATTACTTTAGCATAATATTGTAAAATAAAAAATATCATAGCAGTTTACACATTCACACAAAACCCTCAGTTTCCCTTTGGGGTTGGGTCAGACACGACATGTAGTCGAAGAAAATCTGCTAAATCAGACATTTGAAGCAACCCACTATGTCGGATACTTCCTTTTTTGGAATATTTGGAAGAATCTTCACTTTACCTTTAAACACAAGCCACTCCACAACTCTGTCGATGGCAGCCAGTCGCAGCTGTGAGCAGGACTTCTTGTGCTTGGGCCAGTCTTCCTTCTGACACTCTTTACAGCAGTAGTAAGCATTCAGACACCTGGAGAGGAAAAAAAAGATCTGGTCTGTACTGGCAGTACAAACTCACTGGATAAAATCTGAATACGCTGCTTTTTTACTCTCTCTCTTTACCTGGAGCAACGCTTTAGCTTCTGTGGGTTGGAAAGTTCATTCGGTCGCTTTTCACAATAAGCACAGATCTTGAAAGATTCCTCCATCTTCTCAAACATCTCTTTTTGGGACCGGAAAGTCATGCTTTTATCCTTGGTCTGCTGAACAGCCCTGGAAAGGAAGATTCAAATTATTAAAGATCAATGGGATACAGCTGGTCAGAGCCTGAAGATGACAAACATCATGCCATGTGTTCATCATACTCTTATATTCATGCTGTAACCTTCAGTTCTTTTCTCAGTGGTGGGTGGGAAGATTGTTTTTTGCTTTAAGCTTCATGTTTACAACTTGGAACAAGTGGAAAAACCATACACTGTATATAAGGTATGTTTTATACACAGTGAACCCATAAAGAAAGTCTTGAAACAGGCTTCCACTACCTCACTGTTTAAAGACTGAAAATGGCAATTCAAACTTCAAGCTGTCGGTGAAGGCCCCGCTCCTCCCGCATGTGCTTTCACTCATCGGCCACTTTCACAGTGCTCTGTGAAAATAAATGTACATTTAATAAAACTGGACTCCACACATTCCACTTACCTCTCGGTTTCCGTCATCTCGAACCGAGCAAATGAGTGTGACACAGACGCTTTTCAGCTGCTTCCTCTGCTGCTGCTCCTCTGCTTTTATGATACGTGAGCGGTCTGTTGGGGGGCTGCAGTGCCAGATATAGCACCTGTGCTCTGCCTTCTAGAAACGTCTGACAACTCCAGACCATTCCTGACTTCACAAGAGCCAGACTCACATGAGGAGGTAAAATGCATGAATGAATGAGTAGATGTACGAGTAGGTTTTATGACGTAACAACCCCCTAAAAATTTAATTTATCATTGCATTTATGGTGTTACGGTTGTTTATTTATCGATTGCAATAATTTGTGGGTTTGATATATTTTCACCCCAAATTACTTTATTATTATTTTTATAACTGATTTATTGCCCATGGTTTCAATAGTAAACCTGGCCCAGAGTATGTACTTCTTACACATAGCCTACTAGAAGATTTTTGCCTAAACCTGAATACATTTTTCCCCTGAAAATGAAATGATATAAAGAGAATAAAGCCAATCAGGCAGAAAGCTATAAAGAAACACTGTTTCCACTAGTCCAAAACATGCCTTGGGCCTCTTAATGACTTGTCTTCCTATAGCTTTGTGTTACAACTTCTATCCACTAGAGGTCAGTGTCGCCCCACCAGGCCTGCTCTCTAGAAACGGCGTCAAATAGATTTATTGGTATCCATCAGTGAAAGCAACATTTTGACCCAAAAAAAAGGGCGATTCTAAATTAATAAAGACTTTTATCATTTAGATTTTATGCTTGAATTGTTTCTAATGTATGTTCACAAGTCACTTTGTTAGGTACACCTGCGATCGACTTTAATTCTTCATTCCAGAGTCAACAAGGTAGATTTTGGTCCATATTAACATAGTAACAGATCCGTTGCTGCAGATTTGATGGTTTCACATCCATGATGAGAATCTCCTATACATCCACATCCTGACAGTTCTCGACTGGATTGCGAGCTGGTGGCTGTGGAGGCCATTTGAATAAAGAGAACTAATTGTCATGTTCAAGAAACCGGTTTCAGATGTTTTGAGTTTTGTTATCGTGCTGGAAGCAATCATTAGAAGATGAGTACACTGTGGTCATAAAGAAGTGGACACGGTCAGTAGTAATTGCTCAGGTAGGCTGCGGCATTTGAGACTCATCTGACCAGGAAATGCTTTTGCAATCATCTGTTGTCTAATTTCAGTGAGCGTGTGTGAAGTGTAGTCTCAGTTTTCTGTTCCTAGCTGACAGGAGTGATGCCAGATGTGCTCTTCTGTTCCCCACGCACTTCATTTTGTTCAGAGAGCCGATGCTCACTGGATATTTTCTCTTTTTAAAAAAGTCTTCTGTGACAGTTAGAGATGGTTGTGTGGGGAAATGACACCAGATCAACATTTTGAATGAGGATGAAACAATACATTTTTCTTTACGGTGGATCTATGTGCCATTTGCTACTGAGGGCAGAATTCGGCTTTTTGTCCATGCTTTATAACATAATAGCGTTAATTTTAAAAAGTATTGTTCAGTTTTGTGTTCGATGGTTTCAGACTGGCTATAAATTGTTTTATGATTATTTGAAAAACGGGGCTCGTGATGTTTTTTAAGAGAGGCAGATGGGCTAGGAGAGAGTGAAGGTTAATGTATGGTAATTGTTGTTTATTCCACAGTAAATAAAACGTACCTGTCAAATAAAACTCACTTGCCAATACAGACCTCCGTTTAGCACATATGAAAATATCCTTTAATACCCTAGTTTAAAAAAAATATACATTACAATACAGCAATACTGGGCCTGTAATCAAAACAGTAATGGTGTGTTTATTATATTTTACCACGCTTAAGTGATTACCACCATTAAAAATGCTATTAGACATGATGATAAACCTTAATAAAAGACAACACACAGTAAACAGAGGCATTGATAAAGAAATGTTACTTTAATGTGCATCAGTAGAGCTCTCTGCTGTCAGCACAACTCTTTTTCAAGAACTAAAGACTCAAATTTGAGCAACAAAGCAGAGACAAATCCACACGATAAAGTAGAAAAACTCACAACCATCACGAATCTCAAAGGAACCTCAGCTTCTTTGATAATGCTGTCATTTATATAGGCGTTATTTGAGATTGTGTGTTAAATTCGTGTGCAGCCAGCGTGATGTTTGGGAATTCGCTCGTGCCGCAGAACAAATCACAGGAAGTCGTTAAGTGACGATGAAGCTAATTTTGGTCACATAATGTAGGTACAACAGTGACTCTTCATATCCAACAGTCGTCATGTCACCCTGCATAATGAAGCGAGTAGAAACCTCTGGGATCCGCTGGTGCTTTACCCCCCCAAACACTGCTGGCTTCTTCCTCATTAGGTAAACATATCAGAATTAAAGGATAGTTTTTAGCACACTCTGGAAGGAGTGAAGATTATTTTTCCTTCACTCCAATTGCCAGAGGTATGATTCAGTGTCCAGCAGAGTTATGGCCATCTCTGACAGGTTGCAGAAAGTCCCCCAAGGACTTTAGGAAACCTGCAAATCTGTCAGGTCCAAAAAGAAGGCTTTGAGTTACCTTCATAGGTTTCACTGTGGACTCTAAGCATCTGCACCTCGGCCCTCAAGGTCTTCTTGTGGAAGCAGTCCCTGGAAACTGACGTAATGAGAGTTGCAGTAGACGAGGGGTTTGTTAGGACAGGCTTGGACCTGCTCTGGTTTCTGTGAGGTGAATGGATTGGGCCCACTGTCCCTGATGTGCATCTCCAGCTCCAGCAGAATCTCCAGTGAGTACTTGAGCTCCATCTCACTGTGGAGACAAAAGAGGTGTGAAAATAATCAAATTTAGGTTGAAGTTTAGTTTCATTGTGCGTGTGAATCGTGAGTGCTTAAGAAACACAAACGGCTACAAGAAAACAGACGTTTTGGCAAAACGGCATCAACAAAGGGTGAAAGACTGGAGTATCAGAACTGTGCAATTTCATCCCGTTATACTCTACAAGGGGGGATTCTGTTTAGAGCTCCTGCTGTAAAAGAAACAAATCTTTTCTTCTACTTGGCCTTTGTAAAGAAACAAAAAAACTAAATTGGAAACAGGTATAGAGGAATAATGTTTAAGAGATAACTATCCGAAGGTAATGAAGACAGCTAGGTAAGCAGTAGAGCAGAAACTGGGCTAAAGTGTCAGGCCCTAAAAATGCATATCTGCAGCAGATGAACAGAATCCGATAGCTATGGCCTTAAGAAATAGGAAGAAATCCAGCGAAGACCTGACACATGACCTGAACAAGGCATCTGGACCATCAGTGGATCATCTACTGTTCACAAAAGCCTCATCAGAAATGGTCTCAGTGGAAGGGTGGCTGTCAGGGAGCCGTTCTTAAGGTTTCTTGACATATTAAACATAAGAGGAGGCAACAGATCCTAAATGTAATGATGAATTCAGGCTGTGTTGAAGAATAAAGGTGGTCCAAATATTGACATTTGAGTTCCTTAGAATTATACAAACTCTGCCTTTGCCTTCTGTAGTGTAATTCCATGTGTGTTTGCACATCTCAATAAAATGTGGAACCTATTTCTAATTTTTCTATCAAAACATAAAGAAATGAAAAGTTTTGCATAGCACTGTAGGTTCATCAACAATCTCCGACAGTTCTGACTTTCTTTTTTTCTGGAGTTAGCAGATGGTATACAAAACGAGTTAATGAAGTCCCTCAAGCGCAAAGAATTTCAAATATTCAAGAGAGTGAGAGGTTTTATTAAGCCTGCTACATAAAATGCAATCCAAGCAATTAGAGCCACAGAAGCATGACTTACCTGAACATGGTGAAGAAGGAAGGGATGTTATAGTCTCTGAGCAGCAGCAGAGTGGGCAGCCAACCCTCTATCAGACCCTGGTTAGCGTGGAATCCTGAGTTAAAAACAAACACGTGAACCTGTATGCTGTACGTTCACAAACATGCTAATTATTAGAAATATTAAATAATTAGTATCACATTTGCTTATGGCCTGTTCACTGTTAAAACAAGAGTGCACTTCTATCTTCCTTTCATCTTTTCCCATCCTCCAATATAATCCTGGTAAAGTAAATATGTGCGTCTTATTCCTGCTAGATGCTCCACTCTTTTAAAAAAATGAGGCATCTGGAAGCTAAAAGATTAAAACAACAAACTGACAGAGAAAACAGTCAGTCTCAGTCTCCTTTTAGTCAATGAGGTAAAGATGGAACAGAGTACACTTGATTAGGCTCCAGCAAACCATGTGTTTCTCTTGTTAGCTTGATTACAATCCCTTCTGGGCATACCTAATCTCATTAATAAACCAAGGAATCTCTGGCTGTCGTGTTCCTCCGCAGCAGTTTATTGACAGGTGTGTATTGCAGTGTCAGTGTCAGGATTGAGGTCTGAAGTAAACAGCATTATATAATCCAGCTTCACTGATGCCGACACACCTGTCGATGTGAAGACGGCAGCTTTGCCACAAGCAAGCGGACCTCGTTTGTGAGCTTTAGCTGGACATTGGGAAGCTTGTTAAATCTTTCTTTTCAGCATCACACCAGCTGAAAACGTGTGATACTCGCCAGTCAGTCACACAGACAGTCACAGCAGTCCGGCTACATTTAGGACGGGCTGCTTGCATAATCCTCGGGTATATTAACTGACAGATGTCACTTTCCCCCGACTCGGGTTTATATCAAAGTCAGATTTTTGAGCGGCGGGGGGTGGTGCGGGGTGGCGATGGGGTATTATGGTGAAAAGTTTGCCCTTCAACCGGATTAGTGAGGTTCCAGCCTGCCATGGCAGCAAATACTGTAAATCCATCCAGCTTAAGTGTCCCCGAGTGAGACAAAACCGAGCAAACAAGAGAATTTTCCTGTGCTTGCATTATTATTATTTTACCACAGAGAAGGACGTGGTTATATCTTACTCAGCATTAACGGGAAAGTGGACATGTGAGAAACATGTTTGCAGATACCGGGGGGTGTATACAAGAAATGTGACAGCGTGGCACAGAGATGGCGTCATGTTATCAAGCGCCTCATCTTTCCCGGGAACTCAAACTGGAGGAGGAGGGCGATTTCAATTTCATTAATGCACTCCATGATATGAACACCCCAGCGGTTACTTATCGTGACGAGAAAGCTGTTAACACGGAGTAAGCGTTTAGAGGTTTAAACCATACCCCAGGAGACAAAGCGACAAAGACAGGCTACAGCCTGACTGGTAACAACTGCCATAATTGCCTGGCAGCAGTAAATTCGGGCCATATGGTAATTATTAATGATAATAGACTTTAAAAAAACAAACAAACCAGGCAACAAGAAAGTGTTATATAGCTGTGAAAATCCAGTTTATATCACGGACAACAAAAAGAAGTCTGGATGGGTTTTTTTGCATTTATGAGGCACCTGTTTTGGGGGCGTTGTATCCCTGTATGGTTAATGTTACATATCCCACATCAATCTTCTTTCTGAAAGCTGACATTACCTCCCCCCTCTTATTCTCAAAGGTCAATATCTCCATAGTTTATTTTGTAAATGTGTTTTTCTAGTAGCTTTCCCTTTCCCCCGGTTCTCATTCTCTTGTGACTTCAGCACATACACACACACACACACACACACACCTTCTTTTTTACTCCTTTCGTCACGCTGCCTGCGCGCCTATCACCTAAACAGTGTCATAATGCAGTGCTCTGCCAGCTTTGCAGTATGAATTGCAGCCAGGCTCTCAGGCAGTTTACTCTCAGGATGACTGATTCCTGTATATTTAGCTCCACTGGAGCCTGTAGCGATAACCGAGCCAGGGTTACAGGTGCATTTTGGGTTGGGGCTTTACTGCTGATTTGCAGGTTAAAAGGTCAAAGAACAGACTCAGTGCAAAAGCTTAAAAGGGCGTTGGGTTATAGTGCGGCTTTAATGAGGTGGTTGTCAGTGAAAGTGTATAAAGGGGGAAGTAGGTGTCAAGACTTTCAGTTACCCTTTGTGTTCTACTCCAAAAGCTTTAAGTGTAGCTGTCCCCCGACGGCTTCAAATCAATGACTTTGCACACGAGAGGGCAGGCAGTGATAGACTGAGACACTTCTTCAAAAGGAGAGCTTACTAACATTATGCTGACTCCAGCTATCTCAAGCCAAACTCTTTTACAGCTGCTCCCCTTAATCACCCAAATCCCCAATAAAGGCCTGGCACTAATGAATGGGCCAGATCCAGTGAGCTACAGGTTTCCTGCTTTCTCTGTTCTCTGAAGGAAGTAGCTGCCAGACACATGTAGAGGAAGACAAGCCATCGCTTCAGTCCAAAATAGCTGCAGCAGTCATTAAGGTCTTAATCTAAATTCATTTTCAATTCAGGCCACTGTTAAAATTCTCTCAAAATTGCACTCTTCGTTGATGTCTTGTGGGATTATTAGAATACATACCAGGATGAAATCCAACCACCAGGTCCGGCTTGGCTGCTTCCTGTTTAACCACCATATCCTCCCAGAACTGATGGTAAAGAGCCTTGTAGGCGCTGATGTAGACTCTGTGCTTGGGGCCAAATGCCCTGAGAGGAGGTCTCATGATGGGGCCGTCCACCACCTCAGGCCCCACCATGACTATTTCGATCCCCTGGTGTCCAGGGAACATGTGGTTCAGCTCATCAAAGTCGGTCAGTCTGGCTCCCATGGTTTCATTGTGAGATGTCCCCACTAGGTGAACAGTGACTGGTTTGTCATATGGGTCCAGTTTAAAGTGCTGCACGGCCAAGCCCACCGTGAGAACTCGAGAGAGGAACTCGCTCTGAATTCGCCATAAGGATTGTCGCAGGTCAGCATCATCCGGTCGAGGTCTGGAGGCGTTTTTCCAAAGGGCCGCCATGTTGGCACCGGACAAGACCGTGTTCAGGCGTGGTGTAAGATCCCCCTGCTTGGAAAGCCAGTCGTCCCAGTTCTTCACCTCACCAGCTGACTTGGTCCACTTCTCAGTAGGGATGGGGAGGTCTCCTGTAACAGTGGTACAATACTATGATTGAGCTACAAAGTTTGTAGGTCCACAGAGGCTTTTAAAGTCAGATAGCAAAACACTGGTCAACTATGACAGAAATTTAGGAGAGAAAAATTTCACTTCTCTGTCTCACTCGTTGTCTTTCAGGCGTTTCCTTTGTGTAATTTCTCTTGATTTTCATCTCAGATTGCTAGAAACCTCATGACTCTATGGTGTGGAGTTGCCCAGGTAGGCAACAAACCACATAATTGTTTATTACACTGTCCTTTACAATCTACAATTTACTTTATTTCATAACACGTCACTGTAATAAGTAAAATAACCAGTAGAAGAGGATCTGACCTTTGACCTGGGAGTGGAACAGTCCTTTCAGGAACTAATTCTGCATGCAACTCAATGTTAGCTACTGCTAAAACTAATATCATATGTATGCATGTTCAAAATTGAAATAACTATAACAAGACAATGTGTGTATATGCATGAATATGTGACCAAGTATAGTTGTTTGTTTAAAGACAGATTTGGATTTCATGTATTTACTAAAACAGCTTTTTTTGGTTCGTTGCCTCAGGGCATCATTATGCCGTTAGACCATTTTTCTTACGGGGATAACAGGAAAACAGCGCTTCCAAACTCAGGTCCTTGGGGCTGCTTGTTGTGATTATTCGACTCAAGTGTGTTGGAGTAGTGACTCCGATCAGAGAGTGTTATTATTTTTAGGAGCGCTGAGTGGCAGGATATAAAAGCAAACAAATCTACTTCATAAATATACAGAAAACTGCACATTGCTGTCCCGAGGCAATGAGCCCATTTTTTGGTGAGGGAAGGGTAGAAATGTGTTGATATGTATGATACAGCTTTCAAAAAGCAGGCTGAAATATAATTTTTTCTCAAGAAAAGGAAAATTTAAGCCATGGAGATGTGAATTCATTTCAGCAGCACCACCTTTTAATTTCTCACCTGTGAACATTAGCCACTCCACTAGTCTGTCAATTGCCACCAGCCACAATATCTTGCAAACCTTTTTATGCTGAGCCCAGTCCTTTCTTTGACAGTCCTTAGTGCAGTAGTACACATTCAAACACCTGGTGGAAAACCGAAGAACAATGGTAACATAGTGAAAAACTGGTGTGGGGAAGAAGAAGACACAATGCTGCAATTTTTTCAGTGGTGGTTGTCCGACCATCCTCACCCCAAGGTCAGACCATGAAATGTCAATGCTATTTGCAGTTAGCTACCTCTCAGACTCTACAGGTCTCATTTTGCAGCTTAAATATTGATGACAGTAGCATTATAAAAACAGAGAGTGCCATAATTCCTCCACAACAATGCGAGAGGTTGATAAAGTCACACAGAAAGTGATCACTTCAAGTTATTGCTGCTAGCGGTGGTTCTTTAAGCTAGCCAAAACAATGATGTGGTGTTCTTAGACTTTCGCAGGACTACATACTTGGCTGTATATGGATTTCCTAATTTAAGCTCAAAAAGTCCAATCTATTGCCAAGAAAAGCCACACTCAGAAGGTGAGCATGGAAATATAGTAGGGTAAGCAGGTAAGCGCACAGTATTTTTATACCTTTCCCTCCCTTCCCACCTACTGAGACAATCCTGCACATTTTGTTTGTCTCTAGTTTCTGAAAATCCAGCTTTTATTTAATGTCTGTGAAGATAGTGGCAAAGGTTGTCATCTTGTGTCTCCCACAGGTGACTATATCACCATCTCATGCTGCCTACGGTACTGGGTAAATGTAAGGCACCACAGGTCCTGCAGAAACACACACTTTGTTTTACATTTAGCATGTTGGGATCTGGTCACCCTACTGGTTCTAATCTTTTATTACGCTAAACTACCTAAGCTTTTAGGTATTTCATGCTAAGTATTAGCTAAAGAGTAAAAAATTTTATGAGTACTCGATGCAGTGTAATGTATATCAAGAGAGCTTCTTAATTACTAGGCCACCAGTTAGAATGTTTTGCTTGTGCCAAGTCACAAATAGCTTCTTACATACAGAACCAATATGTTGACCTTCCTGTGCAGTGAGAAACTAATGAGACTGAAGATGAATTCTGACTTGCTTTTGGCAGCTGCTGGGGGAAAAAAATAAAAAATAAATAAAACAGGGGCATACTAGGTAAAAGCAGGCATTTATGACCTCTCAGTAAGGATGCAGGCCTTTGTGTTGTCACACAGCATGCACGATGATGAGGCAATGTGTTGGCGTAGTGGTCTGACAGCCAGCAGCAGCTGCTGCATTGGGAGACTATATTACTTTACCTTGCAGCCATTTGCAGCCTTAGAGGCACCCCACATTTACATAAAATCATTTATCAGCCACCGTGTTCCAGCACGGTGCACTTTGCTAATACTAATGCTAGTACTAATTCTCCAAAAGAGGCTTATAAGTAGAAGAAGTGACTCAAAACACGGGTGAGAAAAACAAGGTGCCCTTGAAAGTTAAAGTGTGAACCATTTCCCAAGAGATTAATAAACAGAGGAAAGCGAAAAAGAATGAGGATTAGGACGGCATTAGAAAGTCAGCACTACTGATTTAACGCTGGTGGTAATTCTAATGTCAAAGGTCTCGAGGGTATAACTTGTCAGCATTTCCGTTTTTTGTGCGCCTAAATGCCTCCTGCTACTGGTAAGAGGTTAGAGGCAGAGGCAGCTGAGAATTTCAAGGGAACGCGCCTGTACGACAGCACCAATGAGTCGGCATGAATCAGAGATGGGAAAGGACGCAAAAAAGAAGCAGGGAGCCGGAGGGCCAAAGAAAAACGAGGCACAAAAACAATTAGGAGCTCACGAAAATGCACTGCAGTGTTTTCTGCTGCTTTTTCCTCAATATTCTCCTTGAGCACTCTCTCTGATGGTGTGACATATGAACTGCACTAAGCTGCTCTTAATAAGCTGCAGAGTTGCAGAGAGATGAATCACAGTCAGGGGACTTAGCTATATTTGCCATTGGCCATTATCCACCTCTGTAGTGCTGTCCACACTTGGGTGGCTTATCATTCCGTTGCTGATACAGCGGCAGCTGGTGATGCCTCACACATGACAGCTATTGGACAACAACATCAAAACAAGACCCTGGCTGTGTGGTGACAGAAATGTCCAGAGAACAGTGGAGATTTAATTTCCAGAAAATATTCAGACTGTAAACAACGATTGCTGTTAATCGGCGTTAATGACAGAATACTGTAAATCAAACGCAACAGGGTGCAGTTTGCACTCACTTCACGCAGCGCTTCAGGGTCTGTCCCTCGGTGAGATGTTCGGGGAGTTCGTTACAGCCGGCGCAGAACTTGAAAGTTTCCTCCATCCTCTGGAACATCTCTTTGTAGTTGCGGAATGAGATTCCTCTAGCCTTCCCTTCGACTACAGCCCTGATTAGAGTCAGACACTAAATCATTTGCCAAGCAAGACACATGCTCAAGAATCTGAGGTGTTAAAGTGACATAAAGGGCAACTTTTGAGCACGTAGGACATGTGAAATTTGTGCAAATTTCTAAAGCGTAACCAATCAAAGCAGTCTGGGTGTTATGAACATTGCAAAAAAAGAAGAAAAAATGAAAATTGGAAACCTGTATTCTTCGTAGTCCTTCAGGTTGAGCTTGTTGAGAATCACCTTTGAGAGTCCAGGTACGTTGGAGTCCAGAGAGTGAAAGGCAGACTGGTCAGAAAAGACGCTGTCAGTCCCCGGAGTGTAGGACTGTGGCAGTGCAGGGATCTGGGATGCCATTATTATGGCCTACACTTTCTACTGGAGAAGAACGAAGCATTAAATAACTATATAAACATATGCACTGCATGGTTTATTAACACCAGGTCTTCAGTTTGAACATGCTGGTTTATATTTTGTGTGTTGTTATCTGCTTAGTAACAGACACAGAGCAGAGCCAGTGGTCAGACTGACAAATGAGAAGAAGCAGGGCTGTAAATGGGGACTTTGGTGCAGGGACACATACCGTTCCATGCCACTCAAGTATTATTTTTTACTACCCAACCCAACCACCACACTACACTAGCACTGCATTGACTGTTTTATGATGACTGGGTTAGCAGGTGTACTGGACTGTTTGAGACCCAGATTTTCACCAAGCCACAGTGAAAGTGGCCTTACATTAATCAGCCTCATACACATTCCTTCCTTTCACTTATGTGAAATGCTGTGAAGGAAACACACAAACCTTGTCCTCAGTTACACTCGCTGACCTGAAAGCCCCGATGAGAACTCTCATGACAAGAAGCTCACACAAATCTGAGACAAGCCAAGGCTCTATTTAGGCATGCTCTTCGAGGTGAGTCATTGTACCTCTGCCCTTCATGGAAATCCTCACATCCCGTGCCCTCCGCGGGTTGAATATCAAATGATTTATTAGCTGGACAGGATGGGCGAGAAATGTGATCATCTGGTGGTGGCACTCCTACATCTCTAGCTCACATACCTCCTTCCATCCTTCTTTAGAATTTACTGGAAGCGAGTGTTGAATTTGTGCTTAAAATAATGATAATGTATGGCTGTAATTTCCCCACTCGTGTTTTTTTTTTTTGCGATCAAATATATCTACCTGTCTGGAAGCAGCTGAAAACGTTCCCCTCGCACTAAACCTCAAGCAGTTTGCAGCAATACACAATATTCTGTTGAGAACAGCACAATAAATTCCCCCTCTCACACAGAGACCCTAGTCTTTACTCACAGCAGTCCTCTTTCCCGGAAAAGTTTCCTTCCACTCTGAGGGGATACTGCATCTTTTCAATTTCATATCATGTATTGGGGTGATTTAACCTTAATCATGTGTGCAGACTGAACTCAGAGGCTTATATCTAATTGGTTATTTCATATCTGCACAGCAGCAGGGAAGCTAGGGCTTAGAAGTGAACAGGTTTCCCATGAGAAGGGCAAGTTTTCACTTTTCTCTCCTCATTGGTCTGACCACTGTTTGCATTTTAGCGTACACAGACCTTTCACTAGTCTGAGCATTACTGCTAACGATGAAGATGCCCTGGCTATGTTAGAAGATATGATCGTGGCCGTACCTTTGTTCGTTTCCAAATTAGAAGAGGCTTCCTCCTAGATGATTCTAGAAAGGGGCTGACAGGTCCTTATGCTGGATGTCACAACCTCGGAGAGCCTTTCTGGTGTGTCTGCTGGGTTTTGCAAAAGTGAGCCAAAGTGGGAGGGTTGGGGACTCCTGTCATATGAGGTTAAATGAAGAGGATGTGGGGGGGGACTGGATGATTTGGGCAGGGAGGGGTTGCCTTGGAGGTGGGTGCAGGAGCCAAAAAGTGAGGAGTGGAGTGGGGAGCAGGTCATTTTTAGAAAAAGGAGGGAGAGAAGGGAGGGGTGGGTGAAGATTCAAATCAGCTAAATTAGGATGGGGTGAGAGAGGAGGAAAGCTGTATGTTAAAGTAGTTTATGTACCAAAGAGATGTTCTAAAAAAATATGCTCTCAGCAGGGGAGAGGGGGCTCAGAGATGAAAACGATGCACATTACAGGCCAGAAACTGATAAACACACCAGAAAACAGATCTGTAAAGCTCAGTGAAAAGTGAAGAAACCAATGTATATGCTAAAAAAAACAAAAACAACAAAAACAACCACGTTTGATATGGAAATACACTGCTCTTTCAATTAGTCAGTGCTTTTCCCCCTGCAGCTTGAAAGCTTTGACTTCATCTTTTTATTTAATTTTTTTTCCTGAACAGGAAAAAAAATTAAATATGCGCATGCATCAGGTTATTTCTATGAGTTCCAAAAACTAAAAATAAATGAATAAATCTCTATACATAAAGCAAATACTACTTCGTAATAATCACCAAAGCCTTTTCATTTTTAAAAAATTTTTTATTTGGTCCATTGGAACCTGAGATTGAAAATTAAACATACATATTTTTGTACACATATACCACGTCCCCGCTCCCAAAAAAAAGAGGATCAATAAAATATATTTATATGTCTATATATATATATTTATATATCACATTCTTTAGAGTTCATTATTTTCAGCATTAGGTTACTTTTTTGTATCTACTATCATATTTTAATTTCTTTTTTCAAACGGTCATTTTTTGCTTTTAAATCTTTAGTCTGACTTAAGTTTTCAGTTTTCTGTCTAAATTGTACAATTTACAATGAGGGTCAAAAAAAGAAAAAGGAGGAAAGGAAAAAAAGGGGGGGTTGGATGGGTCAGTCAGTGACCACCTCTTCTCTGGTTGTTTTCTATTCAGCAGCAGGGGGCGCTCCTAAAGCACAGAAGAGCTACGGACAGGACCTAACAGAAGACCAGCAAACAAAACTTAAAACTCCTGTAAAAAGTAAAAGTGATCCAGCAGAGACGCTTGATTTTGAGGTGCCTTCGCAGTCGTTTCAGTGCAGGTTCACGTCAATCCATCTGGGCTCAGAGTGAAGCTGTAAAAGCCTCATTACATTCCTTTATCTGTCATTCATCAGCTTCAGAAAAACAAGGCTGCAAATCACTTGTATGAATAAATTAAGACACAGGGACTGAAGCAGCTACGTGGCTGCGACCGCACATTCTCACATGCACACAGGGCCAGACGGGGACGCACATCTGAAAGTGGTCATTACACATTGATGTTTCTTTGGAAAGCATATTTACAGTTACTTGAGCTCTGGGTTTAGTTAAAAACAAACGTTGCACTGCAAGCATCGGGACACAGTGCAGCCATTTAGCATCAATGATTTTAAAAGTAAAAGGAGAAAAATGAGATGATATGAAGTGAAAATTACCCATGATAAAATTGTAATTTCTTTACATTTAAAATGATTTAGATACAAAAAACAACAACAAAAAAATAAATAAATCAAATTTTCCCCCTTTGAATCATTAACTGTATGAATGCTGCTGGATTTTTGCTTATTAGGTTTCAAGTTTTTCTCCATTTCACCACAAAATTAACAGTAAGACATCGTTTTTAAAATAAAAAGTCTCCCACTCAATCCTGTCTCTATAGTACCATGTTAATTGTTCCCCTCTGTCTGATGAGACATCTATGTTGCCATGGTGAGGGCATGATGAATGAGGAGTAATGGCTTTGACACTGGGAAAAAAAAACAAAAAACCGTGACCCTATATATAAGGACCTACGTAAAACAGCTATCCCTTGAACGAGCACACTCAGAGAGAACTATTTTCTGTGTCACAACCCATCTCGGGGGTCTCTTTCCTGTCTCGCTGTGCGTGCACCGAGTCTGACAAAATGATCAGTTGTTATTTCATGAGGACTCTGTGTTGTTGCTAACAAGCTGTCAGTGTATTCTTGTGGGAGGATTGCCCAGACGCTCGCGCTGCACCCAAGCAAACAAAAGTGGTCCCTGCCCTCCCAAAGTAAACTCGGCAGCTCCTCTTAAGAGCTCCCCCATGGCAAACTGGCTGTTCAAACAGCCAATAGCGACTCCAGTACTCCCTAAGCACGTTATAGTATAAACTGACATGCTGGCAAACTGTGCAAGCGTGGGAAACAGACACTAAACTCACCTTCTGTACCAAACAAGATCAGATGCAATTTGCTGGGTGTTACAAACCTCAAGTGTAAGACTTATGTAATATGCAGGAGGGCAATGACTGGGAGGAGGTGCCATACACATAAATTTTAATTCATGGGGAAAGATGTAAACTGTCTTCTGAAGTGGACGAGAAGCCCTCCAGCGATGAGACCCTAAACTGAGGCCAGGTGATTCTATCACGGCTCAGTATTTCACAAGATAAAAACCTTACAGTCTCTACAAACATGGACCCACTAACATCACAAACAGTGGAGACAACAGTGAAAAGATGCTATTGCAGCTTCTTGGGCACCATCCACCTGCCAATCCAGCTTACTGTACAAATCACAGGTTTGGTCCTGAGCTAGAGATTGTGCCACGGAGAGGGAACAGTACCGTATGAATGATGGCTTTGTCTACAACCTCAAAAAAACCCTAACACAAATATGGACAAGAGGCAATGAGGGTTGTGTATAAAACAAGTTAAACTCACACTGAGATGTTTTCCAAAAATGTAAAAATACAGGACATGTATGTTTCATGGGCAAAATCACTGGGGTTTGGCTCATAAAGTACCGCACTGAGGATGGGGGCGATAAACCCCCCCCCCCCCAGAAGTCTGCCCACTTTGTTAGCAGTCTTGGTGGACGACACGGGGGGAGGGGGAAGTGTCTGATCTGGTGGTTGGCTCATGGTCCGTGGGCCGGTCAATGGCTCAGTAGTTTCAGCACCTCACCCCGGCTTTTTTTTTTTTTTTTTTGAAGCTCATTGAAAGCAGGGTCATCTCCAAGCATACCAAACTGAGGCCTGACATCTGTTTCACATACAGCAGGTGCTGCCAGCTATACAAAATGTCCAGAATGTTAAGTAGTCAGAACTGGATCCTCTCAGGTGCCGGGGTGAAATATTGTGGGGTTTTTTGTTTGTTTGGTTTTTTTAGTACTCCCCTGTCGCTCATTTTATCCTCAAATGGCACATCCAGTTGGCAAGGGACAGACAGAGCATGTGCAGTCCGGACAAAATCTCGAGCATCCATGGAGCGTTAGGAAGAGAGCAACTAAACGTTTCCCTCTCCCGTCATGCTTCACATTCAGATGCACCACCAAAGAGATGCAAAAAAACGCATCTTTCTCTGCATTTTAGGGATCCACACACTGTGCCTAACCTTGTCTGATTTTTCCAGTGGTCTGACAGTTTATTGGACTAGAGCAAGTGAGTCTGGGATAAAGTGGGCGGTGGTCATAGAGGCCGGGGTCGGTGCAGGCCGTCAATGTCCGGGGTGAGCTGGGGGCTGTGTGTGGCCTTGGTGGGGGTCCAGTCTCCCAGGGAGGCCTGGGCTGCCTTGCGGTGAGCCAGGCGGTGGGTGATGGAGAAGCCGGCATTTCCCTCCAGCTGAGAAAGCACCACCAGCACCTGCCTGCAGGGAGGGAGAGAGAGCCTTCGAGCTATTGTTGTTGACATTTAAATGCAGGTAGAGTGAATACAAACACAGTGGTCTTCAATCGTGCCTTGTGTATGAAACAAAAGTAAGAGACTGAAAACAACCACAGGGGGGAATTGGTTCAACTCTCCAGCATCATTTCTCCTTCGTCATTCAGGAGAAAAGTGCAGCGTCATTTAATTTAATCATGCATTAATGGAAGAAAATTTAAAAAGTGCAGCTACAGCTTCTGACGAAAAGTGGCAAAACAAACGGCTACAACAGTTATCCGATGGCTGCTGACGGACAAGAGCGCCACAGTCGTTTCATCCCACTCCCTCGTCAAAATAATTAAAATGAGTTTCAATTAACTGAATTGAAGTGATGTGAGAACTGCTCGGAGAAGCTAAACCCACATGTGGAGAAAACCAAGCTGATTAATCAGAACCAATGATTCATTCTATTTTCAAGACAAACTGGGATAATATGGTGACATATGGTGAGAAATAATAAAGGCTTGCTGCCCATGACTGTGTTACTCACACCTCTATGAATATGAATTGGATATGGTCTTCTTTTGAATGATTACATTGCCACTAAATGCTTTCACCTATGAATCGTATAAAGCAAGTGAGCGAAATATGAGACTGTGATAGTTTGCGATAGTAGCTTTTTAGGCAAGCAAAGTGACACTATGTTCTTTTTAGATGGAGAAAATGACAAGAGCAGCTTCATGCATGGTGACTTTTTACAGTTTGCCATTATATGGGCTGTAACTTTGTGACAGGTAAAGCCCTCAATTTTCCCTTATTGGAAGATTTCATGCTGTTAAACAGAAAACTAATAACATGTAAACGGCTTCTGCACGCTTGATTCTCCCAGCATCTATCTGCCTGGAGAAGTGCGAGAAACACAATAGAGACCAGCAGAAAACAAAAGCAGATATTAACTGTGCTGAGACCAGCCTGGGGTAGTTTATTAAGAAACACAGCGCACTAATCCTGTGAGATCACTGTGTTTATATAAGCATGTAAGTGTGGTGGATATTTGCTGCACCTAAATGTTCCCGGAGAATTTAATCTGTGCACTTGTTATCTTTTCTGACTTTGTGCGCAAGTGAGGAAAAGAGAGAGTGGTTTGTGTACCTGTGTAAAGGCGGGACGCTGTCGATGGTCTTGAGGCTGCCGCGTGTGGACACCACGTTGAAGCTGTCAGTGCAGTCACAGGAGACGTGGAGGTAGTACTTGGGGTGGCGGTTTTCCACCACCACGATGAGACCTGCCCAGCCGTGGGTCAGGTAGTAGCATGTCATGCCCTCACGGCCCTGAGAGCACACAAGGAAACAAGCTTGTTTTTTTTTTTCATTTTTCAAAGCAGAAGGGTTGTTTTCTAAATGCAAACCTCAGATTTCACCACTTGTGCAAAGCTAGCACCACTGATACTACGTCAGCAAAATACAGAACACGGTATCCTACATTTCTATTTAGTAAGAATACAGTATAGTATATATACAGTATCCTATAAAGCACTCACATAGTATAGTATACAGAATCCTATATTTCCAACTATAGGATATCCTATGTTTTCATTAAGTATAGTATGCATGTTTCCACATTGTATACATATAGTATTGTATATATACAGAATCCTAAATTTCCATATAGTATAGTATATATACAGTATTTATAATTCCATAGATTTATAGAGCATTGCGGCAACTATCTACAGAGAGGTGGCTACATTTCTGTAAGTATGGCTCATAAATGCTCTTAAAATGCTTTTGAAATAGGAAGAAATGTGCTTAATACAAAGTAGCTTCAATGGAGAAAAAATACTTCTGTGCAATCAGTTTAATATTATTAAAATGCAATAATAATAATAATAATGATGATTTAAAAAAAAACATTCTGCATTCAGCTGCCACTTTACCTCTCTAACAGTGGCTGCTGTTCTCTTTTAGGGCCACTTGTATTTGTAGTAAAGCAAACACAAGTGCAGCTAAACTACTTTAGCTGCTGTCATTTGCTGTCACGTCCAATTGCACAAGCAATGCCATCCAGTGTCTGAAAAATAGCTTTGGGCAATACTTGTACTCTATCTGCTCTTAACACAAAGCTCTCCTTTCTTCACAGCTCGGGACTGCTCAAATTATTTATTAATAATAACTGAAAATCTTCATTTAACTGTATTGCTAACACTACAGCTGATGCACTGGCTGCAATGTGCTCCTGAGTGCTCAGCTGTGAATTTCTGAAGAGCTGAATGATTTAACAAAGATGATCTCAAGTGTTTAAAAAGCTCTGCCATCCTCTAAAATATTCACCAAATGTGACAGGCGCTTTCAGGAAAGCATTGTTCTGAAGAGCCAGGAGGATTTGTTTCCTTGGGTATGAACGGCCGTGTGCGAGCTCGTGCAAGAGGTAACGCACAGAAACGTGCACGTGTGAAGGCAGAACAGGACTTGCAAGCGTGTAAGATGCCTCAGATTGATGAGTATGAACCATTCTGACTGTGAGGATTTAGACTGTTGTGCATTTGTTTTTGTTCTGCAGGCTCTGTGCTTTAGCTTGAGGAGGTCAGCATCATATACAAAGATTTGTATGTGGAATTCCTTTTAATAGACTGTCCAAATTGGAGATAGTGGTCCAATAGTGATTGGACAATAGACTATTAAATGTTTCTTAATGTTTCAGATGTACTTTTTCAACCCCATTATTTACTAATTTATGGAATTAATGCAACCAAAGACGTTGGGCCCATCTTAAGAAAGTGTGCACATACGTTAAAACAAAGGAAAAATACAAAAGAAAGCCCCAAAAAACTGTGACGCAGGGTTGTGGAACTAACTTCTATGGACAATAAACCAAAAAACAACTCTTATACAAGTTCTGAAAAAAGGAAACGAGTGGAGGGGTAAAAGAGAAGAGCTCACAACACAAAGTGAGCTATCTCGTCTGTCAAAGATGAGATGGAGGTGCTTCTAATATGATCTGGTCTTGTGCAGCATGGCTGCCAATAGACCGGGAACACAGTGAGTTATTGATGTTTAGACGCAACAGGATAAATGCTGTGAGGTAGGTTGGAGCATTCTGGACAGAATACTCCATCCTGTTAGTGTATTCTTGTGGGAGGATTGCCCAAATTCAGCCAAACTCTGTAGAGGACAGTTTAGCATCCTGCTGTACTACCCAACTGTCAAAACAGGCTCTTCAGGGTGACTAAGTGGAATATCATAGACGAGTTAAAGTGCTAATGAACAGCTAAAACCACACTAAAGTGAGAGAGACCCCACATAAAAAAAGCTGATAGTAGCTGTGACAAAGGCTATCCCCAATGCCTTTGTCACAGCTACTATCTACTAAATATGATGGTTTTGGTTGGTTAAACTATCTGATTACTTTGGTTATCCCAATGTGTTAAAAGCTTTATCTACTTGTGTATTTTCATTCCAGCACATTTAAATTAAATCAGACACGTTCAGGCAGTAGTCTTTCACTTCAAAATAAATTGCTGAAGCGCACAGCCCGGAGATAAAAAAGAAAAAGAAAAACTTTCCAAATACTTATCATCTGGACTGTAATATTATACTGAAAGGCAATAAAACTGCGTGCGTGTGAGAAGGAGATTGGGGGTACAAAGAGAGAGAAAACCCTACAACTATATACAGGATTCTCTGCAGTCCTGAGAAAAACTAAATACATCTTTGTCAAAACTGGCTATAATGATCACAAGCACAGTAGCAACTCTACGAGAGAATGACTGCAATGGCCCAGTCAAAGTCCAGACCTCCAAAAGATGGAAGCGCTGCGGTTTAGACCTAAACTCTTTACCTCATGTAATTCTACTAGGAAGGAATCTTAAAGATCTTTTCTGAACTGAGCTATTTGTGGTTAATAGTGATAAGAACAGTCAGGCTCCACAAATTCCTCCACAACAAGAAAGGTATAAAGTCATATAGAAAAACAATTTTTTTCCCCCCAAGTTGTAGCTGCTGAACCATGGAGTATATTTAATTTTTAACAGGACCCCACAGAGTTCTGTGAAAACCTTTTTCACTTGACTGTAGCAAGTAACACAAATATGGTTTGCATTATTGCAGCTTTACTACTTCTCTTTTTCTGGAATGGGTGTTTCTAACCTCGTGTCTTTCGCCTTTGTTTTCTGTGAGTAGAATAATCGCGTCGGCCAATGTGGTCGCGGTCGCTTCCACCTGCTCCACCATCACCTGACGAGAGCTGTAAATGGCCAGGATGTAGCCGGGGAAGTCCTGGCTGGGCCGCCGTACTGCTCCACTGGTGGGGCTAGAGACTGGGAAGGAGGGGAGAACAATTAATGAAGACAAAAATTAAAGTTTTTTTTTTTTTTTTTTTAAAGTTCCTTCGTCATTAAGCGAACATTCACAAGCAAGAACACTAAAGCCCTGCCTGTGACCAATGCATCTGTACACTTACTGGGTGTGGGTGGACCCCCTGTGCTGCTGACATTCATCTGCCAGTGATTGAAGGCGCAGCAGACAACAGCATACTCCCCTGGCTCCAGCATAACATCACAGCCAACAAATTTCTTCACTGCTCGCTTGCTGTGGGCCATTAGGCGGCCCAGAGTCAGCTTGTTGCCGCTACCAAAGGAGGCACGGAAGACCATGATGCACAGGTCCAGCAGGTGGCTGTCGGCTGTGTCGGAGCGCCTGGAGAGAAGAGGAAGAGGCTTAGGAGAAAAAAGGGCAAGGAGGAAAAATGTGTGGGTACTGAAAGATTTAGATTAGAGTCCTATTTACCTGCTTCCCTCTTGGAAAAGAGCAAACTCCAGTGCCGTCCTCTCCAGCACAGTGAGAGCTGTGACCGTGACTGGCCCATTGGCTTTGCTGGGGAAGCAGCCTTGTAGTCTCACCTCCTGCCAGTCAGAGTGGATCTTACAAATGTCCACTGAGTCAAAGTACCTGTGGGAAGGGGAAAAAATGTACATGTTTATAAAAAAAGAAGAAGAAGAAGAAGAAGAAGAAGAAGAAAGAAAAAAGACCTACATAAGAGCCTGTTCCTCTGAGATGCTAGCAGTGTGACCGGTTGATCTCCTCTTGTCATGAGCTACGATTATTTGTATGCATCACAGGCAACTCTTTAACGTTAGCATAGCCTCTGAGGGCATCCCTGTACAAACACAATTTACCTTGCTAGCATATCAGACCTCTTTCTTCAAAGACATCGGCCCCACGGGAGACTCTCTTCCTTACTTTCAGTCTGTTTTTCAGTGTTTCATCACTTCCTAACCTCGGTCTGACAACAGTCTTACATCTTACTTTTGTCTTCTTGTCAATCAGGAAGAAGCGAGAGGAGGAAAAAGAGGGAACGCTTAAGTTTTACGCTCAGCTTTGATCAGAAAAGACAAACACGTCTGCTGATGAATCCTCTTGTTTGTATTTAGTTCGCTTTTGTGTCTAGCCACCTTCCAGGAATGTTATCAATGATCAACATCGGCCCTGGTTGTTTACTTGATGGGCCAATTTAAGGGCCTTGCTTGTCCGAGAAGCTGACCGCTTTTTCTTTTTCACACTGAAAACAAGTCTAGGGAGATGCTGGCTGCAAGTTTGTCATGTAGTACAAAGCTGAGAGATTATTTGCCTGTCAGAGAAAACAATAAATAGCCCAAAGACATATGGGATTCTCATCTAGGCTGAACACATTTTTCAGGTTGGAGTTGTTCAGGAGGACAGCCACATTGTTATTCATGTCCCTCCTCCTTCATAATACAACAAGAGCAATAAATTCAGAGAGACAAATGCACTGTACAGACAATTTAGCCCTACATCAAGCTGCTCATGTTGTGAACTTCCTCCATTCTTCAGTTCTTTAAAAAACAAAACAAAACGAAACTTCCTATGCAAGTGGAGTCTTGTCCATTTATTCAATTACCCATGAAATATCATTTTGGTGAATGGTAGATTATATTTAAGCTTTATTACATTTGTAATTTGGATTCAGTTCAGTTTTCTTCAAATATTATGGCCATTTGAGTTGCTTGTAAAAGGGCCCCATTATAGCCATTTCCAGCTCCGCGTCATTATTCTTTGGCTCCACTAGAGTTGCTTTGCATGACTTTGCTCATGTGCCTCATTCTGCTCTCTGCCTGAAACAAGCAACTTCTCTCTCCTCAACTGTAACCCAACTTTCAACCGATTGGCCGCTCCTGGTAAACCAAGGGGCAGTCCCCACAGACCGTAGCAATAAAGCTAAAGCTTCCGTAGTGGATTACCTAATGATATGGCTTTCTCTGTGGTACCCACCTTTCAAGAAGAAGTTTGTGCTTCAGTTTTAATAAGTGAAATTCCAGTTTCTCTGTTAGTCTATTACTTAGCCCTAATTAGCTTATATGTGTCCTTGCATTGCAGCCATACAGATTACAAATGAAGCTCGCTAACAAGCTAGCTAGCTTTAGCTGATAACTTAGCACTACAGTCTTTAATCCAATTATGGGAACTTCTGACAGCGAAAAGAAAACACAGCAGCCACCAAAACGCTGATGTTGAAGTTTTTAAAAATGTGGTGATCATGGTCATGGGGGCTATGCTGTTTAAACAACAGATGGATGAGGTTGTTGTGTACACAGGCAGAGGTGTGTAACAGAGATGGCCTTATTGGGGACATTAGTTTCACTGACATCATACAGAGCTAGCCTGAGGTTTGAGCTCATCACTGTTTCCTACTGTGGCCAGTATGAGTATCCATCTATTGTAACAGTAGAGTACAGAACAGGGGTGTTTATAATAAATATATAGGGGGTTAAGGGTGGCTGTAACTCAGGTGGTAAAGCGGGTCGTCTACTAATCGGAAGGTGGTTTGATTATTTGCTCTTCAAGCCTCCGTGTTGTATCCTCGGACAAGTTAGAGAACCCATATCTGCTGCCAATGCATCAGTGTGTGAATGTTTGGTTATAAGTAAAAAATAAAAGGCCTGTGTAAATGGGTGAATGAGGCTTGAAGTAAGAAACTGATTTGAGTGATCAAAGTAAGTAAAAAAGCGCTATTTAAGAACACACTCGTTTTTTATATGACAAAGAAAATAGCATTTATAGAAATACTTGAATAAAAACTGTGACTATTTTTCCATGTGATAACTAGAAGCGCATGTCAGCATGCAGCAAAACACAGATAGAGAAAAACTAGTCACTATCAATGCTGTATATGACTGAGTGACAGGATTAGTCTAATATGACAAAACAAACTGAAAGCCATGACAAGCCTAAGCCGCTGCCTGCCAAATCCCCCCCTCCACAATTCTTAATAACAACATGTTGTGGAAACCAGTGTATGATGCGCTTGTCAGCAAGCAAAATGGAACGACAACAAAAACACTGTAACTCAGTTTGGTGTCAATACCAGATGGTCAGTAAAATCCACAGAGGCGTGAGATTGCCAAACAGGCCGTCACGTTTAACACATTACGTGTGTCCATCACGGTACGATAAAGGACTCTTTAACTCATTCAACCAATTCTAAGCAGCTAGTGGTGGGTAAATCGAACAGAAAAGTCTTCTAATGAGAGTATGTTTGGAATAAACACAAGAAATCTGTGAGCATAGCCTAGCGGTCACAGCCACTGGTCTATTGTGCCAGCAGGTACAGTCACTGACTGTGAAAGCAAACATGACCAAAATGATTTCAGCATGACCACCCAAAAAAAAAAGAAAAGGAAAAAAAAAGATCACACTTATGCTGCGCTAATGATAATTACTTTATAAAGTCAGTGTACTCCATCCAGAAGACCCCTTCACTACTGCCGTGCGCCATCAGCTCATGGCGGAGGTGCTGAGGCCAGTCTGCCCACTCGTCTGACCAGCTGCCATTCCACGAGAAGCGACCCCAAGGGTTACGCAGCCGCAGCAACCTGGAGGCAGGAAGATAACGGAAACACCGAGAGAGACAGATTCAGCAAGCAGTAAATGTGACAACGGCTTTCAGTCAAAGCAGCAACCCCCATCTCTGCACAGTCATATTATTCCTTTTATGGATGACTGGCTGCTTTTTAACAACCCTTTTTATTTTACCGCCTCCTCCATACTGTAGAAAACACAAGGGGCATAACAGAATAACATATTGGAGAATCTGTATTTTCCAGGAAAAAAAAGTAACAAAGTGCATGTGGTTCATTGTTTCTGGAGTGCTTTTTATCTCCTCGGGGCTCCTAGCAGGAGGATTGTAACTCGTTTTGGATCTAGCCCTGTGGCCAAGTCTAGCCCAAGCCTACTCTGATTGCTTTATGGCAGTAAATGAAAGTGGCTGCGTGTGGGTTTTAAGCAAATTACTTCTGGGATTTCTGGCTACTGTCAAATTTTTTCCTCACAGGTAAGAAGGAAAAAGCCTTCATTAGGCTTTTCTCATTTTTCTAATTTGTGCCTCCTCAGTCCTCCGTCCTTCTAGACTGTGACCCGGAAATCAATTTCAGTACGCCATGATGAAGGATGACTTAATTCCTAAAATGCATCTGGAGAACAGAGGAGAGGAGAGGCTTTCCAAGCAGAGTTATAATAGAGGATGAACAGGTGTTCCTTTGACAAGAGGACTAAGCTCGCTTTTTTAATCCATACGATGTTCCAGTTATTTATGATAGTCAAAGATTCTGCCCCAGACTTTTCTGTGTGTGTGATTATTACAAAGAAGACATATATGTTCTTATAGTGCAAGGAATTGTGTGGATTCCCAGTGCTGCTCCAAACAGAGCAATCATACAGATCTGTTGTGCACCCGTTCTCTACTGGCAAGCCACCGGGTTCTGTGATGCTCAACATATGGCTCGTGGGCTTGTTCATGTTCTAGCCACCGAATAATAACACTGACTGATGATGGCCCAGATACATTTATTAATGGTGTATGAAGGATTTCTAAGAAGATACATTTGCAATAAGGAGGCGTGTTCAGAACAACAGAGGACACCTGTACCTGTAACCCTGGACATCTCGTACGTCCAAAATGGAATATGCATGTCGAGGTCTCAGACCCAACGACTCGTAAACAGCATCGTCCACCTTCATGTTGCCTCCTCCGCAAGACGCTCCCATAAGAAACCTAAAAGACAAGAAATGACATTAGGACACTAATGCAATTACTACTCAGTAACCAGGGAGAAAAAAACCCAAAAAAAACAAAAACACGTAAATTTAAAACTTTAACCTCGAGGTTGGGCAGACACAGTTACAGAAAACAAAAACAATAGTAGTTTTTAGTATATGTCACTAATTAATCCCACTGATGTGCCTCTGTTTGAGACCAAACATCATCAGTGATGAACTTTGTCTCTGTTTACCATAGTACGTGAGTGAAGTCTTCATTAGTACACTGCTTTTGATAAAATAAATAATCATTCTGGCAGATGGACCTGCAGTTTGGACGCAGATGAAATGGCCCCTTTGGAGTTGCACTATTTGTCTCATGTTGCTTTGAAAGCTCGTGTATCAAAGTGATGACTGGCACAACTTTTTATTATGGACACATGCTCTAAATTGGCATTCACCACCTTTGTAGTGCCCCTCTGTTTGTAGTTTTGATCAGAGAATATTGGTTCAAAGTGTTTTCAAACAAGGTTTATTATTTTATATGCTCCTTTTAAACTGAACCACCTTTACTCCCTCTCTTACCCAGCCTCTTTGGAGCTAAGCATCTTGGCCCAGATGAGGTCTGTATCAATGGGTTCCTCTCGCGGGTTCGTGGAGCTGACCTGAAGCATGAGGGAGTCACACGGAGCCCCTGTCAGCGTGGCCAGACCCTCAATAGCACGCCCTGCCTGCAGGGCAAAGTAGGAACCGTGGAGTTTGGCCAGGGCCTTCTCAATCAGCGCCACCCATAACTGCTTCCTCTGAGCCTGGAATGATTGTAAAAAGTAAGAGAGGAAACATCAGCCTGAGTATGACTCACTGAGAAAGGGAGCAGGATGTTGTCTCTGGGTTAGTTTCCTCTATCTAAAGGTCAATGAAAATGATAACCTGATAACAGAGGTAGGATCTCTTATTTGCTCTTTTTTTATCTGTTAATGTGCATGTGCAATGTTTTTCCAGCATTTCTTGCTTGCTCAGAGGTCACTGCCTCACCGAGCGCGACTTCTACCCTCTTGTTTTGCTCCTTTGTCTTCTTTGAAAAGATGACGTTTGTTGGAGTCATGATAAGGTGTAGATAAGGTGTCACGCTGTCGCAGTGTGTCTCTCCCGTACGCATGAATGCCTGCTTTTATTTGCCTGTGCTTTATTCGTTGCATAATTCAGTGCCTCATTTGACCCGTAATTGTTGGCTGTTCATTAATTAGATTCTTCTCTTCACTGGGGTCCTTTGAGATGTGCTTGTGATAAGAAATACATAATCAACTAACTTGAACTAATTAATTGCTTATTTTTTCAGGGTTCACCAAGTCAAATGTAATTCTTTTTAAGAGTTGCCCACGAAACGCACTCGTTTTCAGGGTCAAACTAAGGGATGAGAAGGTCTTTACCAAAGTCTTGGATCTGTCAGTTCTCACCAGCAGTAATTTACCCTCATGTTTCAGAGATCTGGAGCAATTAATATGGGACATATCATGTTTTTCTTTATTTTTTGCGTATTAAGAATTCCCAACTTAATACACAGATCTGCAATATTTATTTCCCCAAAATTTCAGACAGTTGTTTGAGTATTTATCCATTTTGTATATGTCTATCTAAAATTCCCTCTTGTCTGTTTACAGTATCAGCATAAACACCTTTCTGCATTGCACTTACCTGGGAAAACAGAAGGTAGCCGTAATCGTCGCAGGGCAACATGTCGTCCACCAGCACCGTCGTCCAGGTCCCGTCTTTACATAGCCGAACCTGGTAAGCCCCCTCTGGACAAATGGTCCTGGTGATCATCACCCTCTCCACGAGCTCTGGACGCTCTGCCAGCACAGCGAGTGCACTCAGGAACCTAGATATGGGCAGAAATCTGTGCCATCAGAAACTGAATTTGAATAAGTTAAATTTGAATTTGAATTGCTCAGATTGAATCTGAATTGTAACTTGAATAAATGCTTTTGAAAACTGAATTTGAATTAGTCTAATTTGAAATTGAATTTATGGTTTGAAAATGATCATCACTAAATTGAAATTGAATTTTATATTTTGAAAATGAATTGATTTGCTTTGAAACTGCATTTTATCCTTTAAAAATTCAGCTCTCGAATACTTTCAGTTTCACTTCTCACCATTCAATTTCAGTTCCAAAATTCAGTTTTTTGGAACTTACATCCGGTTCCGGTTCAAGCGCAGATTAATAGAACTACGTTTTACTAGCGGACCGAAAGTGTTACTGACGGGAATCTACAGCGTCTTGAGCTGAGATAAGACTTCAGAAGTCATTCGTCATGTCGAATGACCAGCGGATAAACTCTCAGGTTGGTAATAAATGTATTACATGTATAAGAACAAGCGTCATGTTAACAAATGATAGCCGTAAGGTAACTTTTATGCTTATTGTAGCTGCTAGCTAAAAACGCTAATTTAGCGTAGTTTGCCCTGAATTCAGCTTTGACGACAAATATGATCGACTGTTTCTAGTAGAATTCCAAAGTTGTCATCTTGGACCCTCTCAGAGTACCCCCTCTGTATTCTTGCAGAGTGATGATCATTTTCAAACCATAAATTCAATTTCAAATTAGACTAATTCAAATTCAGTTTTCAAAAGCATTTATTCAAGTTACAATTCAGATTCAATCTGAGCAATTCAAATTCAAATTTAACTTATTCAAATTCAGTTTCTGATGGCACAGATTTCTGTCCATAGATTCAATCTGAGCAATTCAAATTCAAATTTAACTTATTCAAATTCAGTTTCTGATGGCACAGATTTCTGCCCATACCTAGAGACCCGATAAAAATCAATGAACTGGAGAATGAAACGTCACATCAGGACGGACATACGCGACTAAAACAAGGCACGAAGAAAATGTGAATTAGGCAGAGAAACCACATAAATGATCAGCTGAGTGTGATGGACAAGTGAATGGCTGAATGAGCGCCGTCTTCCGTCAAAGAGACAGACATGGTTTAGGAACGTCAACTGATGTGATTAGATAGGAATGGAAAAAAACTGAGAAGCTGCTATTAAAGTCTAAATGTGGAATTAAAGCATTCTCCTGAACAGAGTGCCTCAAACACTTATGAAAGACTTTTTTTTTTTAATACATATATACATAATTAGCCCTCATTGAAAATCAATCACATTTGATGAGTCAAGCTTCTGTGCCTTCTGGTTACCTCCCCATTACTCTTAATACACCCCACAGCAAAGACAAACAGGCTTGCTTCCTCTAATTAACTTGCAAGAGAAATTAGCTAATCAAAAATCCAGATAGATGTGGAAAATGGTAATTCTTTACACTGGGGAATCACAGCTGGGGACATGAGGACTCGACTTGAAAGGGAAGAGAGTTTAAAGTGTACATTAGTTCATCGGAAAATGTAGAGAGATCTTTAAACACTTAATGAAATGGCTCTGCAAAGAAAGGTCTTTTTGGAGGGGACAATGAGCTAAAGGTATTTGCCTCTGCACGCCGCAGACTCACTGCTGTACATGCACTAGTTTGATTCTTCTATCAACAAAAAAAGCAAAAAAGTAAAAAAAAAAATTGTCAAATTGAGCAGCTACTTTTGCCTCTGGCAGTACTGCAGCAATATCTGAAAAGATAAAAGGAATGCTGCTTTCAGTCTGCACATTATTTTATAGAGTGAAGCTCTTGTGTGGCGGCATTACTAAAGCTATATTCCATCTGTTTAAGTGTCAGCTGAGCACGGCCGATCAACCCATTCAGTCACTGATGAAATACAAATTGGCCAAAAAACAAAAGGAATCCAATGAAAATCCAATTAGCCGCGTCATAATGTGAACTCTGATGTTGGCCTGTACTGCAGCCATACTCAAGGACAGAGGCGACTGGCACGACTTTCTTCTGCCGTCACTGGTTGGCTGGGCTGGCAGAAGCTGGGCTGTTTGTTGGTTTATTAGGACAAGTGTGAGCATGTGTGAGAGAGTGAGAGAGTGGGGGAGACGAAGCCAATGACAAAGAATTTGGGTTACATCCTGTTTCGAGTGAGAGGATTCTGCTCAGGGGAGGGTTATTTTTGATAAGCTGTGTGCGCTGGTGATGAAGCGAAAAGTTGTACTGGGGACAACTTCCTGACTGACTGTGCTTTGTTGTTATTTTGTGTGTGTGTGTGTGTGTGTGTGTGTGTGTGTGTGTGTGTGTGTGTGTGTGTGTGTGTGTGTGTGTGTGTGTAAGTTTATGCTTACAGGAAGATGATGGATGACAACAGCATACACACACATAAACCCCAAAGGGCACCCAGAACAAGGGCAGGGAGATAAAGCATGTGTCCAGGACCACATTACTGTGAATAATCTCCCTGTCACATGTATCTGTACATCTGTCTGCTGTGCTCAACCTTTCATTTCATGCTTACCTTCTTTCCTTTGATTTTTTTGCTTTGTTTTTTAAGTTTCTCTCTTTAATCCTCTTCAATTACTGTTTCACTGCCACGCCATCTCTAGCTCACAGCGGCAGTGTCCATTGAAAGCAGACTCTGACAGATGCACACAGAGAAGTGTTGGCTGTTGTCTGCTTTGCATTCCTCTGACCTTTCTCAGAAACTGAACAGAGACTTAACGGAATGAAAAATTTCCTGTTGCTTTGAGGATCTGCTGCTATTCTATTTTGTCTCCAATCAAACCATGAATCAACAACGCGTTTTTTGTTTTGGTTTTTTATAAGGTTATCTTAAACGATCAGTGTCCTGTGTGTTCTTATGTTCAGGTGTATCAGCTTACCAGCAGTTTCCAAGAAGTCCTTGCAGGATGTCTGAGGGCCTTGGTGTGCGGAACACGGACCACTTGACTCCTCGGTCTTTGAAATTGCTGCAGTTGATCTCGTGGGGACGCAGCCACTTTTTGATTCGCTGCTGGACGCTGTCGCCCTCTGGGAAGCCGACAGATCGAGGTCCGGGGGGAAAACTGTCATCCACAAAGTTCACTGAATTCTGAGAAAGAGGAGGAAAAGACAGAGCGAAAGAAGGCAGAGAGACAAAGGAGTGAAACTACTGAACATGAAAACTACTGAATATGAAAACACCTCATCTGTAAACTCCAAAATCCATTTTAAAATATGATCACTCTTAAAAGGATCTTGTGTGAGGACCTGAAGCATTTCAAACTGCTAATGCAAGTTTTTAAAGAACCAACTATCCTGCAATTTCATATGATTTGCAGGACAGTACAGACCATCACACAAGCCCTGGATTATGCTTTGAGTGAGGGTAAATTACTGCCTTCTACATTTACTTGTTATTCTTTCCACTTTCCACGTGAGATTATTATGTGCACAGTAAAAGCCCAACTGTGGCATCTTGTACTCTCCTAACCAGGATGTGGCACAAAAATGCAAATCACTTTCAAACATTTGGAGCTTCTTGCTTTCTGGCACATTCCCTGCAGAGTACACCGCATTTTAAATTACATGATGGGTTCTAACACTGCCCCGCTACTGTACACAGGAGTAGAACTACACGGATACTTTAACAGATCCAGACACCGAACCTGACACACTATCTGCCCATCTAAAACTCTCCTGTACAAACCTGAGATGGCAAACAGCCACACACGCCAAACCCCTATCCAGTTTCCCATCTGCCGTGTCAGAAGTGGACTCGGCCAGTTGCATAGCAAGGCAGGCGGAGGGGTGATGTAAAGCGGGCACCCCACTGGCAGTTAGAGTGAAGCGAATCAATTGGTAACCATCCCCCACAATCCAATTCTGTAGCCTGGATGCAGCATTTGCTACTAGACAGAGTCATTTGAAGGCTTCCTTAGCACCCTGGCCATCCAAGGTCGTCACGTAGCTTATCGATTCTGTAGTTCACAGGTTTATTTGTGACCCATGTGCAGGCTGTTATCGCAAGGCTTTTTTCGGTTGATATCAATTTAACACAGAGGTGAAGATCAAAGCTTTGTCCCTGCATACACACAGATCCTGAAATTCCAACTAATGCAATTCAAAGAATACAGTCTGTATGTTAACAGACATGAGAAAGACAACTATGATCAGCGACCAAGGGTTAAAGAGTCTGACTTGTTACATACAAACTGCTCTAACCCCAGTTGAGCTGATTTTCCTCTGAGCTTGATGTAAAACAGGAAACATTTTCTTTTTTACTTCATGTGAAATGTATGGAAACCCTCACATTTACAGTTCTATAGTCTCTATTTTAAGAATGAAAACAATATTATATGAATTATTTTAATGTTGGTCCGAAGAGCTTGAAAAAAGTAGCTCGTATCCTCTTGGAATAGAGGTGAAATGTCTTTTAAAACTTTAATCTATTTGTCTTCTTTCCCCCCCCAATCTCTTAAGACTACAATAAACTGGATGACAGGGAACCTACACAGACACACTTTAATGCTGCTACTGATGTGCGCATTTGCGCTACCAAAACCTACCAGGTTATGCTGCGTATCTGTTATCCATTCTTTCTGAACGCAGTGCGTGTGGTTTATCCGGTTGCACTCACATCCTGTATTGTGAGTACCTTTAAGGGTTTTGCCCTAACCCATTTGAAAGACATTATCATCAGCAGAATGATCTGCTGCAGTCTGCCTCAAAGGTTAAAGCCACTTGCCTATTCATATCTGGAGTGTACATGATGCTCTGTGATGTTAATTAGGCGCTTCTGAAACGGCACAGTGATATGACACTCTGGACTGCAGTCTGGACTCAATTTATCATCTGTACGATCCTCTAACAAAAAAATTAAAATCAATGTTTGATCCTTACATTCTTGGTTCAAAACAACCATTTTTCTCTTCTGTGTGGAGCTCTACCTGTGCCTCTATAGGATCCTTCCACAGTCTAAAGACATGCTTGTTAAGTTAATTGGCTGTGGGCATGTATGTAAAGTCTGAATGGTTGTCTGATTCTATGCGTTAACCTGGCAACTTCTCCAGCACCCTATGACAGCTGGGACAGACTGGGATCCCTACAGTGAGAGGAGCAGCAGACCCATTGTGCTGTTCTTGTAAGCATTTGGTTTCATTTAAAGGCTCCTTAGATGTGTAACACAAGACTTTCCACCTTTATCATAAAAAAATAAATAAAATAAAAAATATATATTTGGAAAGAATGGAGGCTCAACACCTTAGAAAGGCAATTTAGATCGTATTTCCCTTTTTAACTTGCGTCACATCTCTATTAAGATGCAGTGTGTATTTAATGTGAGATTAACCTTGAATTAGCATTAATTCCTCATATCGAATATTCTACAATCCAAGCATCAAAGTTTAAACAATCTGACTTCAGCAGAGTGTAAAATTAGGAATTATAACCACGTATAAAGCAATTTCCTAAATCAGGATTCTGGTGTTGTGGACTCTACAGGATAATTCTCGCTGGCTGTCTTGCCACCTCCGTTTCCATCGCCGTGCACATGTAAGCATGCAAACACTGCAATCAGCCAACTCAGTGCTGAGCTAGGAAAACCAGCTGCTTTCCCATCATTTCCAGACTCAGAACTGGCAGCCATACAAGGCTGTGTCAGTCTCATTCTGATACCCAAGCTACAAGATTAGCATCTTGAAAGCATATTTTATGAAAAAGAAGAAGAAAAAAAAAAAGCCTTCCATGCACAATACTGTAACAAGCAGCGCAAGCCTGGCAAGAAGGTCCTTGATAATATGGCACAAAATTAAGCAACTAAGTAGTATGAAGAGTAGTAAAGAGAAGAACAATCCGCTGCAATGTGGCCTGGTTTTATTGCATAGCACGGAAAGGGAACAGCAAAAAGCAGTTCAATCCATGCTGTGTGTCACAGTTCACAAGTTAAGTTGATGGCTGTTAGCAGCATTTATTTGTTTGGCACAGTGAGTAAGCAGACTGCTCTCAGGCATTAGCATCATGCACACGCACACATGCCTCTCACCCTCAAAACCAATCAGGAAGAGTTAAAAAAGCAAAAGAGGCAAGAGAAAGCAACCACACTCAGGTGAGCGGAGAATATTTTTTATAAAAAACAAAAACAAACTCCAGTTCCAGTTTGGTCCAGTTACAAAACAGCAGAGAAAAAACAGGTGCTCTGAAGCGGTCCCTCCATTCTTGCTGTCAAACTGTACTGCACATCCTGTTACAGCCTAACCCAAAAGCTTTAATCATTATTAAATTTTCACCACTGGCATTTTGGTGCTTGGCAAGTGCTCGTGCCTTGGCAGAGATGGATGAGAGAGACTAGCACCTCTTGTTTACCAATTTACCCCACCTTAATCTCTTTGGCCCGTGAACCCGAGATGCAGCAGTTGATGCCGTCAGTGATTACGTTCACTATAGGGAAGTATATCATTTGTGCTCCCCTCCACTCCAACTCCGTTGCTAAAAATAGGCCAGCCCTACATTCACCTTAGCAAATACACATGCGCACACACACATCCAGGCTCACACTGACTACTACAGTGGAGAATAGAGTGCAGTCGTGTGGAGAGGGTGGAATGGGGGTGGAGGGGTGTAGTGGGTGGCAAGGGGAAAGTGTATTTTGAGGTATTAGCAGAACAGGATGAGCATGTGGGGATAGATGTGATGGAAGGAGATGGGATAAAAGGAAGATGAAGTACTTTGAAGAGCTCGAGAAAGGGCAGACGTAAAATATTTGAGGAGAAAAAGACAGACGATAAAAGAAAGCGTAGCTTAAATGATGAAATTAGAAGAGGAGAAGGTGGGGATGAGGGATCTCCGATATCCTTCCTTCCTACCGAGCCAACTTCCCTCCCACGCTTGCAGCAGTGAGCCCTGTGACTTTCAAAGAAGACATTAATAATGCATTCGAAGGCTCACTTTATGCTATTGTAAACATGGCAGGATAGGTGTCATGCTGGTGTAGTAAATGGGCACACATCTGACACCCAAATAAATTCACAGAATAAAAGCCGGCTGGAAACTTAGCTGAATCTAAACGGTCTAACATTCTGCAATGCCCTCATTTTCCTGAGGTGTAATTAGACCAATCAGGTCGGTCTCCCGAGCAGGTGCTGGCAGTCTTAAATGGTTTCAAATGAACCTTTCTGATAGGCCTGAGTAGCTTATCCATGATAACATAATACAGGCTTATCAAAGGTTGGGCACTGCAGAGATAAAGTGAGCCTGAACCAGTTTGATATAAAGAACCGATGTCAGGGTTGCTTACATCATGGCACAGATAAGTGGTATGAGGCCCTGGGCTACGGTGAAGACTCAGGCTCGGGATGAGAAAAACTAAACAACATCAATCATCTCATGTCATGCCAAAAAGTGATTTCTAGCATTTGCCAAAAAATGACTGCCTGTAATTAAACTGTTGTAAATTGACTTGTTGATCTTTAATCTGTCAATCATATTTCATAAATGAATGACATCAAGTCATTTTAATCCAGAACGAATATTCCTGTCACAAACTAGAGGTTTTTCGGCACAACATCTACAACGGAGAAGCTAGCTGAACTCTCCTGTTAAGCTAGTTATGTTGAGGGTTGAGATATTCTCTTTAAAAACATAATTACTATAAGTATGTTCTTTTTCAATTCAGTAAAAACATCATAATTAACTTTTTGCAGTGTGATATTTGTTTTGAGTGTGCTATGGAAGGACTTCTTGCTGTCTGTCCCGACCTTGGTAAAATTAAAGTACTTAGTTTTGTTTTAAAAGGAAATTACATTCATAATGATATTTCTTATCTCTTACTGAGAGGTCTGCTCCGACACAGTGAAAGGAAATATATTTCATTAAGCAGTGTAAAATCTCTCCAAAATACAAACTAAGCTACAGCTGGACAGAAAAAAAAAAAAGATGGACATCACCCATTGGTTCAAGTTCCAGCAATGAAGAGTTATCATTTTGTACAATGGCATTTTTGGATTTTGGGAACTAGAATGCTGTTAGTGTGATTAAAATAATATTTGCCTAATAATTGCATAGAAAAATACTCTTAAAGAGACCAACACCACAAACATGGTTTGCAAGTCCAGTTCAGGGGCTCGTATTAGCTGAGGAGATGCCTAGCTTAAAGCTGAAACAGCATCCACCTGTCAGTCAAAGGAGACGCATCAGTTACAGTGAGTCCTAATAAACTGGTGAAACAATTGGGGGGGGTGGGGGAGCACAGCAATACAACTGTTGTGACCAAAACATGTTTTGATACCAAAAAGATTGACTTCTGCTGTTGGGCAATTTAATAAGAGAATTTACTAGAATGGACTCATTTTGGAGCAATCCTCAAGTGGCCATTACAGAAACTGTTTTTGGCACTTCCACCTTGGCTTCATTTTCAGCCTTGGAGATTGCTGCTTGAACATAACAATCAGAGCAATCAAAAGACACAATCAAACCAAAATAATGCAATCCTCCTGACACAAGAGTCACAGTCGTCAAACAGAATTTCAAAATTCTGTGAAGTGACTTCACTGCAGCTGAGGGCCAGAGGTAATCTGGTTATAAACATTAGACTCTCCATATCCGTAGTTCATTTAGTTGGTAAAGATTCACTGTGTGGTCGTTAAAAACCCAGCTAAGGAAGCAAGCAGAAACATGGCAATAACAAAACCTATTGACATTTCTCTGAAATTAGAGATATTAAAGTAGTGGGAACAATGACAGCACAAAAAGAGGAAATACAATGAGAGAACTGTGCTCTGAAAGGCAATGTGTTCCCTCTGATGCATTACACATTGAAATTAAGCAGTCTTTGATGTCTCAAAGTCAGGACATTCACATGCATGCAAAGTAAGAAAAAAAAAAAAAAAAAAAGGTGACTCATGACATGACTAACTCAAAGGAACTAGAACGAATAGTGTACAACCACACTCCAGAAGCAGCCTCAAATTCTCAATAATTACTAACAGCAACATTTTTCTCTTACCTCCCGGCAGAAGCTGACTATGTTCTCCCAAAGCTCCTTTGCCTCGCCCTCATCATTCCGTCGTCGCGCCTCTACATGCATGCTCTCCCTTCTCTTCAGAGGTTTAACCACCTTGCGAAGGGTGAGGTACTGCTGGGGTGTGTGGCATGCTGCACAGTTCTTGGCTTTGATATCATTGAGCAGCGTGCATGCTGGACAGCTCCACTGTCCTACCTTCTCCTGGAGGCTAGATGAGGTGGAGGACGAAGAAGAACCAGAGGAGGCAACGGCAGAAGAGGATGAAGGAAAGCCCCGGGCCTGTTTACGTATTTTATGACCTGAGGATGATGAAGAAGAGGAAGGTGTGCAGGAGCAAGATGCAGTACCAGGCCCCACTGGGAGGCCACAATGTGTACAGCAGCGGGGTAGAGGCACCTGCTGCTCCTGGAAGCCATGCAGCTTTGAAGAACCACAAGCTGAGCACTTGGGAGCACCTGTAGGGTTGCGCAGGGTGCACTTAGAGCAGGCCCATGTGCTAAAGTCCGGGCTCGAGGGGCTTGCTGGGGTAAATCGTACCGTTTCACAGCCTACTAGGTCGATGAGGTCAGCACCACCCCTTGACGATCTGCAGGTCTCGCACTTCGTTGAGCTGCCTTGGTTGGCCACGGAGCAGCTAGGGCACTTCCAGGTAGAGGCTGATGTGGAAGCAACAGGTAGGTGGGGCGTCAGTGGGTGGTGCTGAGACTCTTCTTCCTCCAAGATACTGAGGCGCTTGCTGGGGTAAGAAGGTTCCTGGGGCTGGGCGTGCTTGGGCTTAGCTGGCCTCTGTGGGCCAGGTTGGGGTGGCACACTGGCAGCTGAAGGGGAAGTGGGGCTGGGAGTGTTGGTTCCTGGGTTCGGTGGGCGTCCCGGAGGCGGTACCTCTCGCCTGCTGCGAGGCACAGGATTGTTCTGGAGGGAGGAGAATGAAGTAAAGGTGGAGGCGAGGGCCTGTGAAGACGCATGGGGAGCTTCTTGAGGATCACAGGGCGGGGCTGGGGGGGAGTCATCTGTTAGGTCAATCAGTAGCGGGGCCGAAGCGGCTGTGTGAACAGGAAAGCCCAATACTGGCGTGCGCACCTCAGGCACTACCAGCGCTTCTGGGGGGATTTTAGGCAGAGACAGTTTTCTAGGCCCACCACAGGCTGAGCATGAAAGCGCCACAGGGGTGTTGTGAAGTGTGCACCGAGGACAAGCCCAGCCCGCCTGCTGACCCTCCTGACCACCCACCTCTCCATTGCTCTCAGACCGCCGAAACACTTCCTCCTTAGCTGGATGCTGTCCATGGGGCTCAAGTAGCACTGTGGGGGTGATCGTGGGTGTTGGGGGCTCAGTGGGAGCAGAAGGGAGACCATTGGCAGTGGCAGCTATGGTGGTCGTAGGAGGTGTGTGAGTGGCGGGTGATGGACCAAAGCCACAGACCGAGCAGGCTCCAGATCCCTGCGGGTTATTGAGGGTACAGCGGGGACAGGTCCAGCGGTGTTCCTCAGTGCTGCTGAGGCGCAGGATCTGGTTGAGGTCGGGTTTCTGGCGTGGCGCCTCACAGATAGAACAGCGAGGTGCTGCACCGGCATTTAAGAAAGTACAGCGCCCACATGACCACTCACTGCCTTGCACCGCTGCTGCCATGGAGCCTGGAGAGTGAGAGTGGCTGGAGAAAAAAAAAGGAGAAAAAACAATGAGTCAGAACAGAATGAACCAAACAAATCAGTCAGTAATACATTTTGCCATATAAGTGCTTGGCAAAAATAAATGCATATTAACTATATTGCTGCATAAACGTGCAAGCTATTTCAGTCAAGCGAAGCTTAAAGTGTCAGCAGAGCAAGGGAGAAGAGAAGGAAATGTGACAAGATTTTTCTTATGGAAAAAGCCAGAGAATTCAGGGTGATCACGTAAAGGAAGAAAAGAGCAAACAGCAAAAACAACCCAGAAAACACAAGACGAGGAGAAGCAGAAAGAAGTAGAATAGAAAAATACAGCGCAAGAGGGAAAGATTAGTCAGTGCAGGGGGGGAAAGGGGAAAAAAATCAAATCTCCCTCCTGGGGGCACTGAGGGCAGTAAATCCATACACAATGGCCACCTGATTAGAGCCAGGGAGACAGCACACAGTGAGGAGGAGCGAGAAGAGAGGAGAGGAGGCTGCTATCGCCTCAGAATACTAGGACAGTGTTGCTTGAGTTTCCCTAACTGACACTCACTAAAACACAGGCGAGAGAGAGGAGGAGGGGAAAAAAGAAAAAAAAAACAAAAACAAAACAAAACAGAGAACACACACACACACACACACACACACTCTCTTTTCCACTTCATATTAGCGGCTCTCTCCCCTCTCAGTGAATGTTAATGCAGGGTAGATGGGAGCAACTTAAGGTCACGTCAATCTCTTGCCCAAATGAATCTCAAATGGATGAGTCTATTAATTCTCACAGCGCTTATGACTCAGGCATATTTTAAATGGCAAGTCATTCATGCCACTGGAGTTACAGCAAATTTAAAGCTCGCTACTATCCACATATCTTAAGAGGACTCAAACAGAGAAAACAGCACAGAAAGAAATCCATCTATTCGGGCCCCTCGGTTTCTTTCCACCTCTCGCAAACTAAAACCTAAAAAGGAGTCTGTTACTGTGGATTGACGTGTGTACAATCCTTTCTGAGTGCCTGCAGTTCAGTCAATCTGACTTATTGATAGAGGGTATATTAGGGGCTTGGAGGGAAGGCAGCACAGTCGGATACTTCCAACTGTGCAGCAGAGAGGGTTGGGGTGGGGGCGGATTGAAGAGGGACAGCCCCAAGGGACGGACATGGTTTCTATCTGGACAAACCCATAAATGTCAGTGTCACTCAGGCTGCTCATGTGTGAACACCAACAGAGAAGGTAATGTGGGGATTTTAGGATAGCTGAGGGGAAGGTGCCAAGAGCTAGGATACTTCAGTGTTTTTCACATTGACCCCAGCAGAGAACATGTTGCCCTCAAAGTCACTGAAGCTTGTTGATCTTCTGTGTGATATTTTGGTTGGAGAACTACATGTGCTGTGTTAAAAGATTTCGTTTAGGGCACGAGCCTGAAACCTTTACAATCAGAGCAGACATTTTTGTACTTCAGCTCTGCATTCCCATTGCAATAATGCATTTGTTGCTTTTTTTCATTTATAGACCAATGGTATTGGTCTTAAAAATATCGGTCAGGTTCTAATTGGGCAAATGAATCATAATTAAAAGTAATCTAAAACACCTGACAATTTATTAGCTTTAAAAATAGCCCAAATAAAAAAGGGAGAACTCCAGGTGCATATCAAGCAAACCAGGAAGACAGCTGCTCTACAGTCACAGGATTGCAAGCTCTAGGTTGGGGTAGGGGTTTGGCACTTAATTGTGACGCCAAACAAACACCACACCCACACCCACACACACAGTGTGTAGCAGGTAGCAGTAAGTGTACTGGAAACAATGGTAACACAGGACAACCTTTAGCCAAAACATGAGAACCAATGACCTTAAACTCAGTAGTGCAATTGCTAAAGTCCCCACCAATGCACCCACAAAGTGGACTGGATAAATGACTGTCAAGGCAGGTGAAAAACAGACAAACAGCTGGGCATACAGAAGTTATAGTGAGATCTGAGACTCGATGTAAAACAAACTTTTTCTATAAAAGCATATTCTGATAATTCCTTGTTGCTGACACTGCAGTTTGGAGTGCCTGAGTCCTGCTCCTCTCCCCTGAAGTGCCATGTGTCACGGCCAGCCAACTGCCTTTAGTTCAACTTCGTTAAACCTTTCAAATCAAGCGAATCCCCAGATCCCAGGGGACCTCTTACAGACGACCTCTTGCTCCCAGCGCAATGTCTGTTCCTCTTGTCATCCCTTCTCCCAGAGGTAAAGAGGGAAATGACAAGCAGGAAGAAATGTGAACGTGTTACTTTAGTTGTCTCGAGTGTGTGGGTCCTCGCTGCTTGGTTGTATGCTTGCATGAATGCAGGCATCTAGCTATATTTATCCATAGATGCAGCACTGCTGCTAGTTTTATTGTCCACCTACATTTGTGTGTTTTCTCAGGATAGCAAAACTATAGAAGCAGAAGCAAATAGTAGCCTTTAGCACCCCTGAAGTCCACACTGTAAGGAGTAAATTCAGCCTTCTAATGATAAACAAAACATAGAACACACTTTTTCTTTAAAAGCACACAAACGCTTTTATCACTGCATTTATCTGCAATGTCTTCATGGCTGCTCTGCAGTATTAAGTGCCCTTCTAGCCACTAACAAAAAAGGGGTGCCAATGAAGTAATGTTCATTGAGTAATAATATTAAGGACATAACTGACATTCATCTAACCACAAAAAAAAGAAAAAAAGAAAATAAAGGTCTGTGGTGTGTCCTGAGACTACAGCCCTGTCTCCGCACCTTCAGCAGCTATGCTAAAAGTAGTTGAATTAAGTGGCAGCACTGTGCCAGCTGGGATGGCACATGTTTACATCATGTTTGGCTCTCTAAAGGTCTGCGTATCTGAGTGCCGCAAACATCAATGACGACAACAAGTGTCAACACCTCATGTTTGATGACAGATTCTACCCTGTGGACATTTATAACTGTCAGGCCTCTTTCATCTACAGCAAGAGAGCAAAGTTGCAGTGTCAGCCACGTGGAGAATTTGTCAAAGCAATTGATGTGGTTCTCACTGGAGCACAGGGATCACAGATTCATTATATTTCCATCTTTAGCTGACACCATGAAAGCTTTTTATTAAAGTGATCAGCCTCAAGGATTTTTTAAAATCATCTTATTGATACTAGTTATAAGCAGTATTTACCTCTCACCCAGTACGGTGTGATGAACAACTATAACCTCTCAATTGGGGTTCTCAATGCATTTTGACTGTACTATGTGCACACCCAGTACAGTACTTTTCAAAAGTTTTGAGCTACCCTTCACTTATTGCATATTCAAACACACATGGAAATACTATATATAAATCAAAATCAGAGTTTGTACAATTCTAAGAAACACCTTTATTCTTCAACCAAGTCTGAACTTTCTTAGTCAAGCTTTTGTTTTTTTTAGTAGTCTTCAGGAATAGTTCTCCAGACTTCTTGAAGGACAATCAAAGCTCTTCTTTGGATGTTTCTGCCTTTTGTTCTGTTCTCTGTCCAGATGATCCCTCACTGCTTCAATAATGCTGAAGTCTGGGCTCTGGGGAGGCCGATCCATGACTCATGTGTTTTTCCATCCAGGTATGATGTTATTGTACTGGTAGTTTGTTTGGGATCATGGTCAAGCTGTTGTCAATTGAGATACTTTCCTGATGGTATTGAATTGTTGTTCAAAATCTGATAGTCCTTCAGTGTGTTCATAATTGAATCAGTTTTTGCGGGATCCCCAACACCACTGGGTGAAATGCAGCCCCAAACCATGACAGAGCCTCCGCCATGTTGTACAAATAAGTGGAGACACTCACCATTTGTACAAACTGACAATAATTTAAGCCAAATTTTGAAATCTTTATTTTTTAAAGGCCGGCTACCTTTTCTTTTGCCCACCACTTGTGCAGTTTCCCCAAATCATTTAAGGACACATTTTGTGGCACACAATTTCAGCTCTTTCAATAAACACCTTGTTGGTGCAAAAATACTATTACATGCCTATCAATTTGTGTTCTCTTTGGCTTTTTTGTACAGGTGACAAGAGACATTAAGAGTTTCAATATTAACAGGAACCTATAAAAAGTACTCCTGTAGCATTTGAGGACTTTCGATCAGAGGTCATGTTCAGAGCTGTTCAAACATAAATGAAACCAGGATTCCTGTAACTCTGCAATGTAAGAGGAAGAATGATTCACAGGCCTGGAGAACTACGGCTTAACCCGTTTTTTAAAAAAATTAAATAAAGTCTGGCTGCTTGGAAACAAACTATATAAAGAATTGAGGGGTGGGTCAAGACTTGCACAGGACTATATGTACAATACATGCGTGCTGCAGAGGATGAAGTGCTATAGCCTGTGATCCCTGGACCATACTTAAAAGGATGTTTTTAATGTACATGTTCCAGTCACTAACAAAAGTGTGCAGCACGCACACACATACACACAGACACATGCACACACCTTTTGTCCTTGGCCCTGTGCTCACTGGAGCTGGTCTAAAAGTGCCCACTTCAGCTCCTCTGTGTCGCAGACCTGGGCAGTCAGCCAGTAGCTTACACTGAAGAGGAAGAGAATAGAAGAGCACCCTCACCTCTAGAAAGCCTATCTTTTTGCAATGAGGCCCTCAATGAAGCCTGCTGCCCATAAAGTAGTTTCTCTGAAACTGGAATTTCACTTAAGTAAAAACATCTATGACCCTGCGGTGATTTCTCAACACTTCACTGGGTGTCAGACAATCACAGTTTCAGCAGACTGTTATAAAGAGTACAAGTCTAAAATGTCTTAGTGAAAAATGAGCAAGTCTGTAATACTGCATAAAAAGAGTAAATTAACTTCCACAACTCAGGTGTCTACAAGGAAGTCTTCAGGGTTTAGATAAGAGTACCTACAAACAGCAAACATAGTCAAGATGATCAGTATCTACAGCACCCTGGATACAAGAGATGTCAGAAAGGCTTTAAGAAATGCTACAAAATCACTGATAACTGTGTCTAAGGCCACCTATG